GGCTAACAACAGGACAGAGTTGCAGGAATTAATGAGCATCTGTGGTAGGGAAGGAGAGGAATTAGGTTTAGAATTCACTAGCGAAAAATCAGCAGTCATGATTTCTAACGAGGATGAAGTTGAGAGGCTGAAGATACAGAATATTACAGTTGAGAGAGCTAGTAAATACAAGTATCTAGGAGTATGGATATGTGATGGTGCAGAATATCTCAGAGAGCATGAAAAGTATATAATAGGCAAGGGCAACAGAAATGCAGCTGTAATGAAAAATAGAGCACTTCGGAATTACAACAGGTATGAGGTGGTGAGAGAGAATTGGAAAGGGGTCATGGTGCCTGGCTTGACTTTTGGAAACGCGGTGCTATGCATGAAATCCGAAGTGCATGCGAGACTAGAAATAAAACAGCGCGGAGTAGGTAGACTGGCTTTGGGGGCATATTGCAAAACGCCAAACCAGGGAGTACAAGGAGACATGGGATGGGCGTCATTCGAGAGCAGGGAAGCGGGGAGCAAGATAGAATTTGAGGATAGGTTGAGGCAAATGGATGGGGAGCAATGGGCACGAAAGGTTTTCAGCTATTTATACATGAGGAGTGTAGACACAAAGTGGAGACAGCGCACTAGGAAATTAAGAGGAAAGTTATTGGGCTATAGCGAAGATACGGAAGAGCAAGTCTCAGTTAAGAAGAACGTTAAGGCCACAGAAAGAGATCGGTGGCTAGAGGAAATGCAGACAAAGACGGCTCTGGGAAGCTATAGATTAAACAAAACAGTTAATGCCAAAGAAAGCATTTATGACAATTCTAGGGGAAGCTCATTGCTGTTTGAGGCGAGGACGGGTGTTCTGCGAACCAGAACATACAGCGTGAAGTACCAGGAAATGGATACAGTGTGCACTGCTTGTGGAGAGGAGGACGAGACGGTTGAGCACTTGATACTCTACTGTAAAGGGCTTCACCCTATGCCTACCGAAGACAACATAGATTTAATAAAGTCATTGGGTTTTAGAGACAGCGAAGGGAGAGTGGATTTCAAGACTGTAGAGATTACCAAGCAAAGATTAAGTGAATGGTGGCAGAAATCGAAAGAAAACTAGGTATTTTCTTATTCACTGATGGCGAGGGGGTTTCATAGCCTCACTTTCTTTGCACTGCGGAGTGAATATAAATTTCACATTTAAATATTCTAAGCTTAAATGGTAAAACAAAATGGCTAGGTGGCGTAAGCTACCGCCCGATCCAAAGGGCTCAGCCGTATTCATCCATCCATCCATTCACTATGCGCATCACACAACGAGGCATCACAGCACCGTTGACTGTTGTGTTTAATTTTCTGCCACCACTGGCTTTGACTGCCGCTCCCACTGGGAGCAGCACTCAGAATTTGAGTTCCGTGATTTTTTTAGTTTGTCAAACGTGAAAAACATTAATTGTGATAAGTATAAGCTTGGGAATGCCTCAGATTAAAGTAGTTATTTGCGACATCAGTTATTGTGATCACTTAATCGAAGTTGGCAGAATGAAGCCTTGACTAATGGTGCTCATATATCTGAATGTTTCATGAATAAAACAAGAAGTGGATTCTTTTGAACATATGGAAAATTAGCAAAAGGCATGAAGAAACTAAACGAACATTTCGCCGATAAAACATATAAAATATCTTAAGATTTCCTAACTCCTACAATTTTTTATAACATAATTACTCTAATTACCAACATAAGAGTTTACCACCATACAGCTTATTATATCTGTAGCTAAACAACGAAAGTCTCTTCATGGGATAGTTCTTAAATGTTTTTCTATGAGAATCTATTCTGCGTCGGCTTGCAAGTTGGCGACTTTGCAAAAATATATGTAAAATTCAGGAAAACGGATTTTGTACAAAAATAATTCCTAACAGTTTCTTAACTTAAATAAACATTACCAGATTGAGTAAAGCCTTTGTTCGTAAATAATTACAAAACTAAATGGCTGTAAAATTCCATTAGGGTCTTCATATTTTTCCACAAGCGGCTGTCTGCATTTCAGCTATGTGGCTGTCTGCATTTAATTTCCAATGACAAACTGTGTACCACTGTTTAGGCTGTTTGTGAACACAACAAAAAATTATTATTATTATTATCCCTAATTTTTTTTAACAGGAGTATTATGATGACATTGAACATAATATTGCACATATGTACTTTTTTTAGAAAATCAAACACTCCTCCCAACAAACTCATTGAGATTCAAATGAAACCACCCAATTTATTTTTGTCGTCATACCACATTAATTTCATGATACAGCGATTTGGATGCTTCACGACGTGTTTACGACGGCTTTCTGAGCCATATTACTGCCGATTCTAAATATCAACAATTGTTGATTTTGTATGCCAAAACTTGTCAATTATAAACCTTGTAAAAGAATTAATGCTCATTTCTCAAATACAGCGAGTGTGCAGGCGAGCTCGTTCATGATTATCATGTTGAAAATTACCTGTGACTGTCCTTTTTCTTCCCAAGTTTCCCATCTTTTACAAAAGACTCGGCTAATTTTCAACACATTCATTTCTACAGTCTAAGCTCATTACAACAGACCTGGCTACAACAGATATTTGGATATAACATCCCGATTTAAGTGCGGTTGGTTTTCCTCTATGTATTATTGACTCGACTTCGTATCTGCACACAACATACTCCTTTCGGGGTTGGTTTTCCTCTATGTATTATTGACTCGACTTCGTATCTGCACACAACATACTCCTTTCGGGGGATCAGTGGCCGAGTGGGCTAGCGCACACCAGCTCGGGGCACGTAGAGTGAAAGCTCGCGCTGCAGAACCCAGAGATCCTGGGCTCAATCCTCACCCCTGCCACTTTCGATCTGGATGAGCATCGTACCGGCGTGCAGTCGTGTATCACTACTGCGTGGTGCTGTTAAAAACCCCAGGCTAGCGGTTGTACTGCACTTGCTAAATTGCTCATCTACAGCGAGTGACTCATCGCAACTTTGAAATGGCTGACAAACTACAAGGTGTATAAATATCCACACTACCCCAATTATTAACATACTCCTTTTACAACAAACTGAAATCTTGGTCAAAATCAAGCTCTGTTATAACAAGCTTAGACTGTATTTGCAAGTGTCTCAGAGAGAGACATGACCAAACATTCTAATTTATATATAAAACATAAAATTCCAACTTGGCAAGTAGAGCCATACTGCACTGGCAATATTGACCTTCTCTTGGCAAGAATCTATTTAAAGCAGACTGACCTTGCAATGTCTAAACATAGATTTAAAAGTTTGACTTGTACTTGTTATGGCACCAAATACAACGTGTTTAAGTCATACTTAATTTTTTGAAACCGGAAGATTCTGAGTTGTGATATTACAAACAGAACACATTTGACATCCATGTGAAGGGGAACCAGGGTCATCGACTGCACATTACTGGCAGCACACTTCATTACGTGCTTTGCTGTTCTAGGTCAACACCACCTAGGATAACCAAAGCCCTTGCATTTCGATATCATCATAGTGAGATCCAGTGCAGACAGACGGGACACGATCGAGCACATCATCAGCATTCAGCTGGGCCTCGTTTCAACGCATCGAAGGACGCTAGGCGTCAGGCTCAGGCCCAATCATTAAGGTGGCGACATTCACACAATCTGTATAGAATGATTGGCAGCATGCTACACCAGTGTTTGGTACATAATAGCTCAGAGCACGGAAGTGTTTGTGACGAGGTACATGCCATTTCCTGGTTTTCTTTCTTCTTACGTCTCAATATGGCAGTGCCCAGTGACTGTGCTGATCGCATTGAGAGGGATGGGCATGATGGCGAAAACGGCAACAGCTCCGGCAAGTCGTCTGTTTTGGTGTCGGATGATCGTTAGGGAGCAATTTTCAAGCGACTAACAAGTCTGGGTTATTCCTCAGGTTGCCCACCAAAATCAGCAACACAACATTTTCTCTTCACTTGTTTCACACACACGAGCAGGTTTGTATTTGTAAAAAGTGATGAGCATTCCCCATGTCCTATGACCCCTCAAATACATTGATGTATTGATCATTGACGATGCTGGGCATAGTTGAACAGAAGGGATTCATATCGAGCAGGTTTTAGTTGAGAAAGCTAACGGCAGCTCTCGTTGGGGCATCTGAACTAGTTTCGTCTTCTATGAATGATATGTGTACCAAGTATTTCCTTTCGTAAAGTATTTGTTATTTTGTGCACCACAAAATGAATGGCAGAAGGCCTGCAACCTGCAGTTGAATCAATCTCTTATGTAGTATTTGCTAGATGGAAACAGCAGCATAATGCAACACAATCATATTACCCAGGCCAAAGGAAGTTCCCACCCATGTCACTACAAACCATGACAATGATGGCAACGTTACTAAACCACTCAGTTGGGAAACTGCCATAGAGACTGCTCTGAAAAAGTGTCCCCGATCTGTCCTAGAGCACCGAGCTAATGGCGAACACAATGCCGCCACTTCTTCCGCAGCGGTCACTCGAGGAACTGCACGTGACATCTATTTTGGCTTTAATCGGCCACCTTGGTGTTGAAACAGATACAGTGGAAGAGGTTACAGGGGTGCCATCCCCCTCTCCCCAGCGGATGCGCCGCGTCTTACCACTGAAGTTAAAATGCACCTAGGTCGGGACGCGCTCCCTGAAAGCACCGCTGAGGCATGGTTGTATAAAAACAATATTATGCCGCAAAACCTCGCAAAATAAAGATTTTAAAAACATCACGCACCCTTCATTTTGTACTAAACTTGAATAAATTTCATACAAAGAGTCTTTTTCGTTTGTCTTTACGCAAAATCATGCTTTCTAAAAGCTCAAGGTGACCACAGTACAGACAAATGATAAAGAGTGGCACTGTTGTCGAATTTAGCTCGGTCTCGGTGGACGCCAGCGGCCCAGGTTTTGACGGAGAGTTTCCCAACTCAGTGTTTTAGTAACGTTGAATGATGGCAACTCAAAGCACCACTACACACTCGCGCGTTTCAGCTTTTTCTGCTTTAATAGATACAACGGGAACAACGCTCCAGCCACCCGAAGCAAAAACAGTTCTCAGAAAATCGTGAGCAAGGCGAACACTCCGTACACGAGGGAACAGGGATAGAGGAGAAGCGGTTGCTGATGGTCCATACTCAACGCAGTCACGAAGAGCTTGGAAGCCGACAGAGCGCACCACAGAACAACCGCAAGCGCCAGCGCCGTGCCCAGACTACCCTTGAGCGAAAAGAGTATGGACAACCCAGACAGCAGGACCATGGGCAGAAGACAGTACCCTAGCACGCTCACCGTGCACCCGGCCGAAATCCCGTTGGCACTCATTAAATTTAACAGCGAGTACATCGCAAGGCAGCCCAGCAGTCCGATGCCGTAGATGTAACCGAAGTGGACTTTTCCGGTGAGCAGGAGGAAACCGCCGAACGCAAGGCAGAACACAAGAGGACCTGCCATGTCAGACTCTTTCAAGATGGCGGCGTCCGGGTCTTTGATTGGGTTGAGGACCGCCACCGTCTTCTGGAGCATGTGATCGAAGTTGATGCCCAGTTCTTCGAGCAGAGGCGGCTCGTCTTCGCCGTCGTCGTCGCCCGTGCCGTAGCCCCCGAGGTGCGAGTCTGGCGTGAGAATGCTGCCGGTGTACGGGGATCCGACGTAGGACGACGACGCGTCGCCGTAGCCAGAGCTGCCGCCCCCGCTGGCAGAGGCATCGTAGTCGAAGGTACCGAACTGTTGTTCCGTGCCGAAGTCGTGGCCCGGGCTCGCATCGTAGGTGTAGGCCTGTTGTTGCTGAGCTTGGGGGTTGCTCCAGTCGTAATAATAATCCTGGCCTTGCCCGTAATTTGACATCCTTTTGCTCGGTTTTCACAACATCGGACACGAAACTGGACAGCGTCACAGCCGGAAGTTTCCTCGTCACCTCTCGTTCACAGCGTTCACCACGCGTTCACAATCCCGATCGTACCGTGGAATTTATCACTTCTTTTTTTGTTTTTATACCTTTTCACAATGTTAAACATAATAAAACGTAATAAATTAGTAACATAAGGTAAGTATTTGAGCCGACAACGTTTTTGTAAAGTTAATTTCTGGTTACAAACCTGGAGTGTGGTCTCTTGTCCCAAGTGCCGCAAAGCCAAAGCCAACCAAGCCTCTTCTTACGGCAATCCAGAATAGTAGCCAAAGGTTACAAGTCATCGAAGAAGTTTGGCGCGGGATTCTCTGGAGCTTGTGCTTGTGGTGTTTCATGCCGCCTGATCGAGTCGAAGCTAGTGAAGGGCCAATTCATCTTTAGCGTTGTGTGTCTGGTTTTTTAACCAAGTTGTTGCGATGTCAGTGACTTCAGAGTGTATTATTTAGGAAAAACGTCTCACCTTGTAAAACATGTCGGCAAAACTCAGAAGCAAAATCCTGAACAGTTTCCAGCTTCGTGGTTTCTCTTTACGAAGGTGGGTACTGGCTTTTCCTGGCTCCGAAATATCCTTAGGTCGTGCCCTGTAACTCTAATGTGTATCACGAATGAGATGGCGTACTTTTGAAACTCCCACGATCTTGGGGAGGGTGGGACGGGAGTGTTGTGAAACCGAAGCTAGGAAACCATGAAACCGTTTCACTGCCAAATGTTCGTAGAGAATGTTGAGATAATTCAGCACATACGTAATTATCTTCTGTGACGTGTATCATCCTGCCGTTACCAAAGACGAGATAAATTTAGTTGGAGTTTTATGGGTACAGTTGCTCACTGGGTTCAGTTTTTAGTACTCCTGAATACATTTAAGAAAGAAATATTAGTAACTACCAAGAAATAATGTAGCCTAGAGGACTAATAGCTACCATTTTGCTACAAAAGCTCTATTGCACACACACAATGAAAATATAATCTTCGGCTTTGGTGATAAATGGACTAGTCGGCACTGCAGATTGCCAGCATCTCCACAAAAACTCATTTATTAAAGAAAAGGTTAGGTTATAGTTATACCGACTGGTATCATATTCAAGGAATATTCCTAGTCATATGTAGAGAAAAAAAAAAAACGAAGAAAGAAATTGCATTCATTTCTCAGTCTCATGTGCAGAGTGTGATTCGGTTAGTTCAAAATTAAATTTTTCATATTGAAGGAGCTTAATAAAAACAAACTGTTGCAGAAAGTTCTTATGCCAAGCCCTAACCTAGGTGGTAAAATTTGAAGCTTTTCTACACCCCTTGAGCAAAATGCATAAAACCCGACTTTGTTGCTCTGTGTAGTACATGCACCGCCTCGTGTTTATGTGCCAAAAACACCCATGCTAAGAGAGCTAGAGATATCCGAGACGGAACACTTGAGTCTTGCGAAAACCGAAAGGATGGATATCGAAGTGTTTTTGTTTATTCATTCGTTCAATTTTCCTCACTCCCAGTTATTCAATCGTGAACCTCTAGCAACCTGCTTACACTATCACTTCGGCTGGGCAAACACGGCTCGATTTCGGCATTAACAAAATTCAGTGACACACTGTTTTTCTTCCAGCGATGCCAGCAAATATCTCTTGGAGCTTCTGGAGCCTTTGGAGGAAGACAGACGGACCATGTGGATTAATAACATTCTGACATGGCTCCAAGAGCAGCGGCTCGAGTCGGCTCTGGTCAACCAGCAGACCCTAGCCAAGTGCATCCAGGAGTGGTCCCATCGGGGAGAAGAGGACAGCCACAGCCGTGAGGTCACCGTGGTGGATGCCTTCCAACTGTCGCCCCTTTCGTACAGGCGAGTCGCACGCTAAGACGTTATTCGTGGGGCTTAAAAGGTAGTTGTGGATAGATCAGCTCGGACTTTAGAAATATACTTGAACACGAAGAAAGAAAGGATGGGAAAGGAGAGACAGCTGCCTGCCAACAATGTTTTCGTGTAAACTTCTTCCTTTTGCATTTTCTTTTCCTTCAATTGCACTAATAAACAAATACTACCGATAATTGCACCTATAAAAATTTACATACAAACTCAGCTTTTTTCGTCATGGCACGTTGGTGATGCGTCGAGCGCACTACCAGTCTGGGGCTGTGGGCAAAAGTCACCATCTGCGTTGTTTTGAAAGAAACCAGACAAAAATGTCGACCATCTCAGCTATGGTTCACGCTTTTGCAGCCCGAGCGACGTCGCGACTGAAAATTGTGAGCGAAATCTCATCATGCGAATCAGGCTTTAGCGCCCATTCTGTGGCGTCCAAGCGGAATGAGTCGCCGGATGTCATATTATTCACGCGAAGTTTTGCGGTGCAACAAGGCCTCGGTAATTTCGCTAAGGCTGCTCAAGTAGTCAGACATTGCCAGGAAGACATATCAACAATTCCAATGCAAAAAAAAAGCACCGGGACTCACACAGACGCCGGCAGCATCGCATTTCAATGGTTTATTTATGGGCAACAGCGAGCTTCTTGCCCACACTTCATCGCGTGGTGGCGTCCGCTAGGGGCGCTCCGGTTTGTTTGTAAACATGAGCTGGGTCTTTAGAGACACAGAAATATCTAAAAATTATTGTTTTTGAACTGAAACGCCACAAGCTCATGCTGCTGCTGTTCTGGGCGTAACATTTCATAGATATTGTCTCTCTTTATTTCTGAATGGCTATAGACGGGAAGCTGACACATTCTTCCACATGTTCCTCCTGTCCTCTCTTTCTTCATGTTCATGTATATTTTCCAAGTTGAAGCTGATGTATTTATAAGTACATACAAACAATCTTAACTGTTAACCGTTACTCTGATTTTTTTAAAAGGTAATTGAGTTGTGTGTTTGATTAACGTCTGCGTTTTTGTTTAGAGTTTGTGTTTGTTTAGTCAGCTCTATTGCGTGCCTGGTGCCTCCGCTGTAGATGAGAAATTCAGCCGGTGCAGCATCACCGCTAGCTTTAATGGACGTCACACAGTCGTGACACACGACCGCACGCGTTTTGTCAAGTGCATTCGCGAACACGTTTCAACTGGCGCGTTCATTGTCTTGTCCCACACATACATCAAAAGTTGTCACGAAGTGGCAACAAACGACGTCACAGGGGCCGACATGTCATGCCGTCCGACGTCGCTATCTCGGCGGTCGGATGTAAGGGCCCCTGCAGAAATTACGAACAAACGCGGCCTTCACTGCCGTCGTGGCGTTCGACTCCCGGCTGCCGAGACTTTCGTAGACCGTCGAGCTGGGGAGCGGATCGCAGCAAAACGGACGTCTGCTACGTGCACCACCGCCGCTGTTACGCCGCTGGGATCGGCAACAACGTCGCGCGTCTGCGATGTCCTCCGATGGAAATCAGGGGGGGGGGGGGACTGCTTTTTAGGACTTTGCAAACACGTTAGTCTGGGGTGCGTTCCAGGAATTATACCGTTACTGACGGGTTTCTGCGCGTCATCCGCAGTGTCGACCGCAAAAAGTTCCTCCCGAGGGACGGGGCCCGCAGTCCGAAGCTCTTCGGGGACTCGGACAGCAAGGCGTTCCTCTTCCAGGAGCGCTACTGCCTCGTGCTCCAGAAGACGGCGAGGCATCCGTGCTTCGCGACCAAGACCTGCCGCGTTTCGTCTTCCGAAGAAACTGGGAGCTCGTTCGAACTCCGGAACGTCGAGCAGCTCCTGGGAACCATCTCGGAACGTGTCGTCGTGCTCGGAATGCTGACTCAGTTCGAGCAGGTGAGCCGTTTCCGGTTACCTGTAACCCTTCGACGGCCGTCGCCGTACATTTACGGCGGTTATTTCACATTTGAAAGTGGCCTCCCTAGTGCGAAACTGCACACACCGCCGGAGGTGTTGCTATTTGTTATGTCTTCGGTGAACTCCAAACATACTCACATTGGTTCACATTGCTGGGCTATTTATAATTTTCAAGTTAGATGCTCCATGCACGTGATGCTCACTTATGCCGACTGCTCTGGCGGCAGTGCCAGTGGGAGTACTGGCTCTTCTGATTCAGACTTCCAACGCTTTTTGGGATTAAATTTAGAGGATGAGAGTTCACCTTCCGACAGAGGAGTTCTGTAAAGTGCCTCCGGTTAGGAATCTGAAGCCGCTGAAATGTCGCGGAAGCTAATGTGCCAACATGAAACCGAATGTAAAGAAAAGGTGACAACTTTTTGCCTTCGATATTTTCCTTTGATGCTTCTACAGCCAAGCAGCTTGCAAGCACTGTACGTGCGCCTGCTAGTTAATTGAGAGAAAAAAAACAAAAAAAAACTGTGCTTTTACCTTTTCTTCCTACTATTCCTTTGCAAACAAATTTGGGCCACTGGAAAAATGCCCTTGGGGAAAAAGCCTCTACCGTCAAAGGGTTAAGTGATTCATGGTTTGAGAAACACCCAGATTTGTGTGTTGTAACTCTCTGCATGTGTTGTAACTCTCTGCACATCAATAAGAAATGTCCTGAGGGATTAATTTCTGATTGTTTGTGGCCGGATGCTCCTCTCAAGCTGTTTTGCTCGAAATTATTAAGAGAGCCTTTTGGACCATCGATGCGTTTGTTCTGATGGAATCATGAGGTATACCAATCACTCGGCTTTCCTCCACCGTAGCGATGTTACATGCATATGAATTTCATGGCAGCCTTTTTTTTATTTTTGCAGTAATGACCCTCCCCTCTCCACCTTCATAAAGAAATCACAAGTTTTCAATTTTAGGATGCTAGAAGTTTGATGTGTATAACACCCACTTTCATCTTTAAAAAAAACGACAAAAAAACTAACGCATTAAATTACAGAGTACTTATAGCTGCAAGTCTGCAAAGCAACATTTAAAACTGTTTGCCTTGTAGACTATTGTGATTAAACTTTGTGCTGTCCCATCTGGTTAAGTTAAACTAACATCTAGACCAGTTTTGCTTTTTTTTTTTTTTTGAATTATTGCAGTTACAGTGGGCTCCATGGCATGTATGTGCTTCTTTATAGCGATGATAATCAAAACTCCCTTGCCAAACTGTGCAGTAAAATAAGCTACACCAAGTCAGGTTTCACTCCAAGTTTCCTCGAATTGCTGAGAATTCGGGTTTAAATTAATGCCGAGACAAAAAAATGTAATGTATAGGACCCTAACCCCTTAAAGGGACACTGGCAGGGAATTTATGCCTGCCAAGGTTTTTATTTGTACATGACATACGAGAGCCCAACCATTCAGAACAGAATGTGTGGCTCGAACTTTGTTTCCTTTCTGCCCGAAAACCGCCGATCGAGAACTGGCCGGTTTGAGTCGCGCTCACCCTCTTCCCCATGGTCACATGCCGTTTTCTATGGTTTAGACACAGCCAGCAAGAATAATCAAAGTCGTGGGTCATTGAAAGTACACACTCAACGCTAAAAATAGACAAAAGATATGATACCCATTTTTTGTAGCTTGGGAATAGCTGCAAATACGTTGATTGAGAAAAAAAAAAAAAAGCTCCACAGCAGCGTGGCATCCGGTAACTTTCTCCTCTATATTTCTTCTTCCTCCCTAGTCCAGTTTTGGTTTCAAGCAGTTGCATTTTTTTTTTACTTTATTAAAAATATATGTGACGCTGAAGCAAAATATTGATTGGATCGTCTTCTGGCACCATAATAGATCACCTGGCAAAATATTTAATCTTTTTTTGGGGGGTGTCAGTGTCCCTTTGAGTGCCTTGTACGAGCTAAGCTCGTTGGCGGCTTTCTGGCTAAAAATGTCATGGAGGAGCTCAGCTCGTCCAGTGCTCTTTAGGTAGCCCTCAATTCCACAGACAAGCTACGCTCGTCCAAGTGGTTTGCGGCACCTTTCATAGATGGTAACACTTGTCTTAGTTTGTGGCTTTTTTTTTTCTACTGTTGGTAGGATAAATGAGAAGATACTCTGGCAACAGTCATTTAAAATTGATGTCGCTAGCCAAAGTAGCATGCGGGGAACGTCAATGTGAAAAAGAAAAGTGATCGCTGAAGAAAGCTCAAGTGACTTGGAAGAAGTTGAGTTTTGTTCGTCTAGGGAAGACGATGACGACTTTGTTGCTGAATTCAGCTGTTCAAGTGAATCTGATGACAACAACAATTCGGACGGTGGCGGCGACTTTGACTCCTCCAGGCATTCTGCAACCTCAAATAAAGTTGGCACTTAAGGGGGTTATTCAACTGTACAAATAATTTATTAGAATTCTAGGGCTGAGAGTTACTGATCCTTACCGAAATAAGGCAGCCTTCGAGTCCGGAAACTTTGACAATGTCGTGCCAATTCCTTGTTTGTTTGACGTTTCAGGGAAAATATTTTCTGGAAGATCCAACTGGTTCAGTTGCGGTTGACGTCTCCAAAGCGGTATCCTTTTCTTTGTTTACTGTTTGTAGCGTCGCAGTGTATTTTTGCTGCTTCATTTCTTTGTGGTGTACATGGAGGGTCTCAAAATGCCGTCTTTATGCCTGCGAGTTTGTATCTGCTCCTGGAAGCTTAGACTTCCTTGGCGCACCTTTGCACTGCTGCATGCGACTCCAGGGCCACGCGCTGGTTTCAAACCGAGGGAGAAAGTCTCTGGATGATGTTGGTTTGAGGCTTGAGCACCGTTCACACTCTTGCGACTGAGTAAGACCGAGAGTGACCAGACCGGTTTTTAAGCCTTTTGCGACTTCCTAGCATCGGATGCGCTACAGCGGAGCTGGTCCTAAGAGATTGCAAGAGGCTTAAAAACCGGTTTCGTCTCTCTCAGTCGTAGTCGGTTGCGAGAGTGTGAACGGGCCTTCATATATTTTGCTGTCCTGTACAGAGTTCGTAGCCAGCGGTATTTCAAGTAATAAGAATTCTTCGTACAGTAAAACAAATTTTAAGTGAAGCTTCAGATCCGTGCAGCAGCAGTTTCCGCTGGTTATTTCGACCTCCACTTACGATGACAATAACAATACTGTATTTTCTTTGAGTAATGGAAGTTTAGCTTAGCCACACACTTTTCCACTTTCAATCATACATTGCGTTTCACTGCCGTGATAGTATGAAAGAGTTTTTAGAAATTCACTGGAAGCTCTCCTTCGAGCACGGTGATCCGTGCAGTTTTTCACCACCTCCCCCACGGTGCCTTGTTGCACTTTTAGGCCTGTAAGTATTGTTCCTATTCTTCATCTAGCCCGTTGTTGTACGCCACATTTCCGATTTTACGAAGAATGTGCATTATCTTTGACGGCGCCGCCAGACGTTCACGGAAGGGCTCTTCACCGAGAGTAGTTTTGTACTCGCCGAAGGCCTCTACGAGGACTCCGTGTTCCGCATCGAAGCCATTGGACTCCCGCCAGTCGAGCCAGCTTCAGAGACCCTGTAAGGAGTTTCTATCAACTTCGTTTGCAAAGAAAGTTGATGCAACAGAGCCGAAGACAGTTGTTTCGTAGCTGCGTCACGTTTGCCGTAAAATACCGAGCAGGCGCCCACACTCGTAGAGTGCCACATTCTTGGGAAAATAAACTATGCATTGCCGAACTCTGGGTTCCGGCCCATAGCGGTAACTGTTTGGAGGATCAGATGCCAGTGCTTCAGAACTTATTGTCATCTGATTATATAGTTAGGAGTGATTTTCGGAAATTTTCAGCGAGAAAATGGTGCCCGTTCTTCGTGGCAGACGCCATCGTCTCCATTAGGGATGTCGCGAACCACCCTAGGTTCGATTTCGAAAGGTTTCGATATTTGCGAAGCGAACTGAGGTTCGATTTCGAAAAATTTTGATATTTTCGTACCGACCGAGGTTCGATTTCGAAATATTCGCAACTTTTGTCCACAGCGGAGTTTCGATTTCGAAAATTTCGAAGCTTTCACGGTTTCTAAAATTTCGAATTCGAATATTTCGAATATTTTTTTACTTCAGGTTCGATAAATTCGAAGATTTCGAAATTCTTTGTAAAAAAAAATTCGAAAACTTCGAACGCTTCGAATTTTTATAGACATGAAGTTCGAACAATTCGAAGATTTCGAATTTCTTTTGGCATAAAGTTCGAAAAGTTCGAAAGTTTCGATTCTCTTTTAACGCTAAATTAAAAAAAAAAAAAAAAACTGAAGATTTTGAATTTTTTTTAATCCAAGTTTTCAAAGTTTGAAGTCCGATTTTCAAGTTTTTCTACAGTTTCAGTTTCAAATAACGTTTTCACGACTCACTTGTTTTCACAAAATCAAGTTTAGAAAAGTTAGGGTGTGATACCTAGATTCTGCGAAGTTGGTAAGGCAATTAAATGAGACGACGAGTGTCCCGGACGTGCTAGAATATTTGCCAGTGCAGAATTGTGACCGCCAGCCCCCCGGGGGGGGGGGGGGGGGGTCTTTATCACGCAGTAGTGATTGCACGAACACACTGTTTTACGAGACTCATCCAGTTCGAAACGGCCACGGGCGAGCAGGAGGTTGAGGCTCAGAGAAACCTTGAAGCGACCTGGCAAACTAGCTCGCCACCCCTTGCACGCTGGTAGTAATCCGATCCGGTGAAGTTTATAATTGTACTGGAGGTTTATTTTCTGGGACGGAGGAATCGCCTCGCAAAAAGCACAAAAGCCGACACAACTCGAGGTCGAGGAGCGTTCTACCATACAAGTGGCGTCGGAAGAGGAAAAACGGGGGGAAAGAGGGTAGCGAGGGGGGGGGGGGGGCTTCAGCCTCCTTCTTCCCCTTGCAGGTATTTCGGACTGTTAAAGAAAAAAATACGGGGAAAGAGGGCGTGGTCGAGCGTATTTTAATCTGAAATTATTTATGCATATGTATAGCTACTGTCGCTCTTCACTGCATAAAAGGTTGCGTAGATGGTCATTGTTAGAAACTCGTTGTCAGAAGGCACTGCTCGTCACATGCTTAGTGGTTCGGAAGTTCAAAGCTGTCTTTTCGACCTAAACACCTGTGCCGATAGTAACAAAAGAAAAAAAAAAAAAAGAATAAATGCGGGAATAAAAAGCAGGAGAAAAAAAAACTATCAAGAATTCGTCGGAAGTGTTCTATTCTTGCATATTCAGAGGTTCAGAACTTCGAAACAAGTTTCTTTTACCAAAATGTGTACAGGCTAAAAGAAACACGTCCCAGAAACGTGAAGCGAAAAAAAAAAAAAAAAAAAGTTTTCTTTTAATGACGTGCTGAACTTGAACACTACTAGAAATCTTCTGCCATGAGTTAATTTATTCCTTAACGTGAAAAAACAATAAATATATTATTTTGTATTCTGCAGATGGCAATGATATGTACTGTCTGTGGTGTTAATTTAAATGCAATACCTCAAACAACTTAGACGAAAATAAATATCAAGTTTAGGTCATAATTGCATGCAGATACATGTTTGGACATTTCTTCGAAACTCACGTTGAATAGCAATAATCACATCTTAAGACGGCACTTACCTACGCTATACATATATCATTCTTTAAAAAAAGTATAACATATCTACCATAAATAGCTCCGGCTGCAGCGTGCTTCAAATCTGGCCCAAACGATAATCGTCAAAAACCCGTCGTCCGTCCTCGCCCCTTCGGGGATTTATTTCTTTAAACCTAAGCATGCCAGAACATTGAAATAAATGACATTGTCTTTCGTAAGGAACGCAGCACCGCGTGTAAAAGTTCGAGAAAAAAAATTACGAATGTACCCCACTACTTGAAATCAAATGAAACCGTCCGCCGGTCTTTCGAAGTTCGACGAACGTCGAACTTTTACCCTATAAGTTCGAAGTTCGTCGAACTTCTGACTTTTCAGAATTCGAAAGTTCGAAACTTTTCGAATTTTCTTGATAAATAAGTTCGAAAGTTCGAAATTTATCGAATTTTTTGGTCAGTCAAGTTCGAAAGTTCGACAAGCATCGAACCTTGCAGCGCAATAAGTTCGAAAGTTCGAAAAAGATTGAATTTTTTAGCGTAATAAGTTCGACGGTTCGAAAAGCGTCAAACTTCTTAGCTTAACAAGTTCGAAAATTCGACCTCCGTCGAATTTTACGATATAGACAATTCGAAAAATCGAAATCTTTCGAACCTTTCGAACCGCTTGATTCGATCATCGAAACTTCGATTCGAAAAAAGTTCGCGGCATCCCTAGTCTCCATGTGTTCGTGGGCTAGATTTGTTTAAAATTTCTGAATATTGGGTATAACTTTTGAATCGGATAATGGCAAGTTCTGAAAACATGACGTCTGATTCAGGCCTTAGTGCTATATTAGGGTGGAGAGCGAGCATTCGACGATGCACGGTTCATTTTTGCGGGGATAAAAAGCACGCTTCTTTATTCTGCCAAGTTCCCGGTGTAGTATGTCCATTGAAAGTAATGCAATAACTTCTCGGGTGCTTTGAGCAGAAAGTACCTCGGCAGCACCACCATCTTTTCCAAGCTCCCGGAGAAGGTTCGGACGAGGCTCGAAATCGAAGATCTGCCGCCGGACGCCATGATGGTCTTTCTCTCGGACGTCTGGCTGGACAGTGCCAAGGTGAGGTGGATCGCTTTCGCGTTTGACAGTTGATGTCTGAGAAAATTGTGTCGGCTTGTGACAGTTAATGTACCTTGAGAACGCTCACCCGAAAGAAAGAGATAAATGTTGAAAATATGGGGTGGGCCATCTTTGGAGATGCCACAGCAAAAATTTATAAAAAATTAGAGATAAGCGTTGGGTCCCCCTCACTATAAGCCTCGTGAAACAAGAACCGATACCGCAGATTGTGGGCACAATAAATCCGTCTTCCAACTCCCCTGTTTCGGGAATGAATACTGCACTGTGCGAATGCAGCAGATTTGTGCTTCACGGTACTTCAAACAAGCGAGAGCCTGCTACAAACTCGCATGATACTGCAGATTGCGGACATAGCAAGTTTCACGGCACGATAGACATGTGGGAAACCGAGAAAACTTGCGTACCACGTCAACAGATCTATCTGCATGCACGTTATCTGTTAGGCAGGTAGGTATGTACTTATTAAAAGGCGTAAGCAAATACCTACCTACCTACCTACCTAACATAAATTGCGCATGCAGATCGCAGACAAAAAAAGCGGCAATCAGCTACGAACTTGTTCGTCACAGGAACGGATACTGCGGATAGCGAGGTTGAGTGACTTCCGTCGGGCATTGTGTGATCGATATCCGGCAGGAATCGCGAGGGGTGAGGTTGTTAAACAAATTATTTTAGACCAGAAACTGAGCGTTTCTGGTCTAGAATAATGTTGTTTAACACCTAAGACTGGTGCAGAAAATAAAAACTTTAAGTCGAAGGAACAAATGCAGAAGGGAACGTTTCATACTCGGCTAACTGGTTTATTTCTCGAGCATCCTATGTATACCCACACGGCCACTCACACCCACCCACCTTCCATACAGAGCACTCCTTTGTTGACAGCATTTCCTATTTGAAAATGCTTTCAGTCTAGAAACTCTAGAAGCGGGTCATTATAGGCAGTACATCACTATATGTGGTATCGTTATATACCGTATTTACTCGCATAATGAACGCACCCCCCACAACAAACATAGATATTTGGACTTTTTTTTTTTTCTCGCGTAATGAACGCATTTTTAATTTTCAACTCCACGAGTGTTGAACTGCGTCCTTAGCTAGCCGTCTAGCCACCAAGCCGGCCAATCATCTTTTGCTGCCAAGCCAAGCCAAGCCGCTCTTGTAATGGCAGCAATTTTGTGGTTGCGGAAGTGGTCAACCATGAAACCGAGCGGCACACACGCCTAGCAAAGCTAGGGTCGAGGAATTGCCCAGCCCCAGACGTGCTTCGTCCATCGGATGCATTGATGTCAACAAACATGCTGTCGTCTGTGATCCGCTTTCGAACAGTCATATCGTGAAAGTGGTTACGCCTAAAAATGCTCACGTTGCTCTCCGTGCTGAGTGAGCTTCGTAGGGCGCTTTTTCTTCGGCAAAGGGCACACCAAAAGTACCTTAAAAAAGTTTGCAATTTATAAAGCATGTTTACTGTGGCACGCTCACGATAAGTCATGGGCACGCCTTCGTCAGTGGAGATGTGCCACAGTACCCTGCCATGTCATAATAGCACCTGAAATGACATTTGCACAAAGTGCGCAAATGCAAAAATGTTACCTTGCATAATAAACGCACCCCCCAAATGTGTGCCCATTTTTCGAGCAAAAAAGTGTGTTCGTATGCGAGCACATACAGTAAGTGAATTCCACTGTAGATGGTTTGGCTGGAGCTGGTCATCTGGCTACTGGCTGGCAACTGAGTGAACGTATTTGTGCAGGTGTTGGACAAGCTAAGGGTGCTGTTTGCTGGCTATTCCCAAGCCCCGCCCACCTGTTTCGTGTTGGCGGGAAACTTCCTCTCTCGGCCAATGGGAACGCGGAAAGACGCAGCCTTGCTGGCCGGTGGGGATGCACGCTCTTTGCTACGACCATTGTTTGCGTTTTTGACGGGACCTCACCTAAGCGTCTTCTTAAAAGGATGCTAAATTAAGCTTCTATGTGTAAACTAACGCTTTCAAGACACTTTAGATGATTCACAAAAATTGCTTTTTCAACGTATTGCGCCGCAGTTTGCTTCAGAGGTGCAAGTAGGGGCGAAAGTTTACAGTGAAAAATCCATCGGCTTGCGCTTCCTCGACGCTGCGCACACCACCTGCTGGCAGCACTTCTCAATACACGTGCATCGTCTGCAAAGTGGTGTCGTAGATTGCCCTGAACAGGTTTCCGTTTTTTCTCTTTTGAACAAGGTAAGTTCATTCCTTGATTTTTTTTGCTGTAAACTTCCACCACCTGCTTGCACCTCTGTAGTAAATCGCAGCGCGATACGTTGAGAAACCACTTTTTTGTGGGCCGTCTAAAGTACCTTAAAAGCGTTAGTTTACCTACTCGCTGCCGACCGCATTTCCGAGGGCTGATAAGCCGGGCTTCTTTCCAAAAAGTTCTGGATTACATGGCTCTTGAACAAGGTTCCTCAGTATATTGCTTTGGTTCTACAAACATGTGAAAAGCTTTTTTTTTTTCTTTTTTTTTTTTTTTTTTATAGCCTTTACTTTTGGGAAAACTGGTTTCCTAGGAGAATATGGATTCTTTGAGGTACCCCAGACTGTTTCTCTGCACTACTTAGATTCTCTCGACACCTCCCGCTTCTATTGCAGCTTCCCAGCTAAGACCCGATTCGTGCACGGTGTCACTGGTGCCTAAATATGGGTGAAACAGTTCTTAGTGTTCATTGTTTCTAACAATGCTTGTGAAATTCCAAACTGTTTCAGATATTGCGAGAAGCGAAAGTACTATATGCAGGCAAGCTAATTAGGGTTTAGGTCGTCTCAGGGTTTAGGTTACAATGTTTTAGGTAGATGGATGGTAGCATACAATCGAACCCAGATATATCAAATTCAAAGGAAATCATAAAATAGTTTGATATATCAATAATTTGATACTATACAAAAATATGTTAAAGTAAGCTCGAGTTGAAATTTCATGGCGTCTCTGCTAATACTGAAGGTCGCGACAAACGGGAGCTTACCGAATAGTTCATCCAAGAGCCACTAAATGCAGTAGAGCGTAGTGGGCGGGGACCGTAAACACCGCTGCACTTAACGCGCGCGCCTGGTCGAGACCTCCACACAGTATAAGCGACAAAACATGAAAATAAAAAAATAAATAAAAAAACAGAAAAGCAAGGCACGTAAAATGAAAGTTGAGCAAGAAAGAAAAAAAGCTCACCAAATTTGGACAGAAAAAAAAAACAAAAAAAAAAAACGGCAAAAGAAAAAGATAGACAAAGGTGAGGCGGTTAAAGTGGTATTGCACAACCATTAACACACTCAACTTGCCGAAGATTTTTATTTTTTTTTTGTTTGCTCATTTTATTTTGGGGCTAGGGAGTCGCGCAGCATCAGCAGTGTTCGGGGAAAGGGCGCCTGCCATTGCGAGAGCGGACACTCCCTGCTCTCCCTACGTGCGCGTGCGTGCCCTTCCCCTTGCTTTTGCCATCCTCCACTTTTTTTTTTCTTTTTTTTTTTATGCTTCATTGTTGTTTTTTTTTTGTTTACGACTGCTCTTTCACTGTGTATCTTACCGTGTGTATGTTGGCTTGGCGGTCTGCCAGCACTGTAGCACAAGCGATGTGCTCGCCACTAGCGCAATCGGATCGAGGGAGCTTCGCTCGCTATATCGAGTGTTCCCGCCATGGGAGTTGGATACAAAAAGATAACGCTCCTATAGACCCTTTCAAGCAACATTTCATGGGCGCCGCCATCTTGGCGTCACGTGACCCTGCCGCCATAGCCGCCCTTCAGTTTCTCGCCGTTCCTCCGCGTTGCGTGCTGCACCAGCCCCTACCGGAGCTTTGTTTTCGCGTTCTTTTACGTTCCGCGTTGAAATCGTGTGTTTTCTTTAGGTCTTTTCGATATTTCGGGCTTTCATTTAATCATTTGATATCTATATCTCGACATATCTCTTTTATTTTCTTATTTATGAAATGGAATCGGACAGCGAACGGATCGACGATACACGATTATGGCTTCAGAGACCATGTAAGTTCATCCCATTCTAATGTTTTTCTCGCTAATAAAGGCAGTCAACACCATTGCGACATATGCAAATTTCAACTGACGCAGTAAGGGTATCCAGTCGTGCTTCTCGCTGCATGTGCGCGCTTGTTTCCGTAAAGCCGACCCGCATGTAAGCGATTTAGCGTGCGACGAGACGAGCAACGGTGACAACGATGAGAGCCAGCGGCGAAGATTTCTCACTGTCGCCTGTTGCATCGCTCGGTTTTTTGGGTTTTTAGAAAACGTCGCTCACCGTCTTGGTCGCTTGTTCCCGTCGCTTCCATGCGGTTTGCCTCGTCGCGCGACTGCCCGAGCGACAGCGAAGGGGGTCACCGTCGCTTGTCTCGTTGCTCGCCGAATCGCTTGCACGCGGTTTATACATAATATCGAGGCGCCAATGGTTCATTGCTGTGTGCATGGAAATTAATTGAGTATAAACCGCATGTAAGTGATTTCGCGAGCGACCAGATAAGCGACGGCGACCCGCTTCGCTGTCGCTCAGTCAGTCGCGCGACGAGGCAAACCGCATGGAAGTGACGGAGCAAGCAACCAAGACGGTTAGCGACGTTTCTAAAAACCCAAAAAAACTACCGATGCAACAGGCGACAGTATTTGTAAATAAAACAAAAAGAAAAAAATCTCCGTCGCTCGTCTCATCGCACGCTAAATCGCTGACATGCGGGTCGGCTTTACGGAAACGAGCGCGTACATGCAGCGAGAAGCACGACTGCGATAGCCTTACTGCGTCAGTTGCAATTTGCATATGTCGCAATAGTGTTGACTGCCCTTTATTAGCGACAAAAACGTAAGAATGGGATGAACTTACATGGTCATTGAAGCCTCATAAGTATCGTCGACCCATTCGCTGTCCGATTCCATTCCATAAATAAGAAAATACAAGAGCTATGTCGAAATATAAATATCAAATGATTAAATGAAAGTTCTAAATAGCGAAAAGACCCAAAGAAAGTGCAAGATTTCAACGCGGAACGTAAATGAACACTAAAACGAAGCTCCGGTAGTGGCCTGTGCAGCACACAACCCGGAGCAACGGCGAGGAACTGAAGGTCGGCTATGGCGGCCCGGAAAGCACGCGAAGGGCGCGCCGACTGGTGGCAGCTCGAGTAACTGACTCGCTGAAAGCGTCTATACTATCACATGTGATTTTCAAGGGGATGTTTGGACTGTTTGATATAAACAATAATTCAAAATACTTGAGTGTGATGTAACCATGCTCGACTGTCTTTTGGAAAAGCTTCCCAACAGCATGAAAAAGGGTGAGAGATCTTTCGAGCCCAGAATAGCAGTATACCGTATTTCCTCGAGTAATAGCCGCACTGTTTATGAAGAAAACCTGAGGGTTTGCTTTTCCGCGGAGCAGGCAGATTGCCAATCACCGCGATCGACAGCATGATTACAGCTGTTTGCAGGTGACGTCTTCGTGTGAAGATACCATCTGTGAAGATTGCATTTGTATGGACAATCGTGTTCTCGATCTGGTTATTCGCTATGTTATTTATGCGCAACGCAATGATTGGCTGTATATTTGCTCTGTGGGAAAGTACACGCAAGGGTCTTGTTCATAAATAGTGCGGCTATTACTCGAGTAAATACGGTAGTAGCGTCACACGGACACTCTTCTGGAAAGGTGCGGTACTCGGAGCGCTTGCACCTTCTGGTCTCTGACTGCAGAGTGCTTCAAGAAGCTGGCCGACCTGGTTTTGGAGTTTCCGCAGTTGCTGGAGCACTCTCAGTTTGTGCTCCTGCCTGGTCCGATGGATCCCGGACTGTCCAACATTCTGCCCAGGTCACTTCCCACCCTTTTTGCCCGTTGGTTTGCCGAGCACAGCGTCGAGAGATGGGGCGTTCCCGCGAGTCCCAAGAACCGTACGATTCCTCGCTGTATTGATTACGGCTCGCTGGTTTCTGTCTAAGAACATACTTTAGAAATGAAAGTTTGAAACAAAAGAGTTGTAGGGGTGTACGAATATTGGTTTGAATTGAATAGCACAGCATTTATCACTACTGTAAACTCTCAACAGATGCCTCACCCCCGAAAGATGGCCCGTCCCCTATTTTTGGCTAGATTTGCTATATATTTTTTAAATGCTGAAAGATAGCACACTTTTAGTAATAGTAGTGTTGGCATCAATGATGGCCTTGGCATAAATGCGGCTAGTTAGCTATGGCGAGATATAAGAGAACGTTGCTGACTGGTGTGTACAGTCATCTTTGCTACGTTGCTCCTCGCCACCATAACAAGCCATGACCTAAAAATATAATTTTTTTCAACTTTTCTTGGTTGTACACGGAAAGTTAGCCCACTCCATTATTTTCCCCCGACTTGATTTTAGGGATATTACGGTAGTTTTAACACTGTTAAGAAAGCCTGTTGTAGTGGCTGTCCTTTACGCTGTGAAGGTCACGAATGATGCAGTGCTATTCGATTGAAACCACCATTCGCACGGCTCCTATAAAAAAATGTCTTCTTTGTTGTACTATGACGAGTGAAAGGATTGCTCGAAGCTTTCCAGTTTGCCGACGTGGCCTCTTGAAAGTGGAGGGACATCCCTCTCGGGATATCGGTTTATGTACCTAACAATAGTCTTTTTTTCCAGAAGTGCGAGTTTGTTGCTCGGGGTGCGGTCCCGTTCACTTTGTTATAACGAGGGATTCCCGTGTGTCCGTTTTTTGGAATTCGAATTTTGCAAGGCGCGCCAAATGTGTTTGGCCTTACGGCCACACGCTGTACTTTCTTCTGGAACATACGGAGATATGTTCATTGCCACTCACAAAAGGAGAGCGGTGGACAGCAAGGTACCGGTGCTTATCTTTAGACGTTGTAAGTCCTTGTAACCCTGCACCAGGTTGATTGAATACAACGTTCAGAAGCTGAGAATTCCGGGGCGGATCCAATTTCTAAACCTCAAGTTCTCGGTGAATGGCATTGATTGGCTTCCTGCGTGCTCTGCCAAAAAATAGGTTCATGTGAAGCGTGGTTGTTTGGGCGAGTTGGTTTGACATCTTATACAATCTTGTGTGCAGCAAGGACGAGGACAAAAGAAAAGAACAGGGCACAACAATGCGCAACTCTCAACTGAATTTTATTGAGTACACGTTCCGGTATTTATAGTCTCACCCAATGTCGTGGATGTTGTCATTGTGACGATGGTTGAGGCTATAAATACCGGAACACATACTCAATAAAATTCAGTTGAAGTTGTCATTGTGATGATGGTTGAGACTATAAATACTGGAACACATACTCAAAAAATTCAGTTGAAAGTTGCACCTTGTTGTGTCCTGTTCTCTTTTGTCCTCGTCCTTACTGCGCACAAGATTGTATAAGAAGGTTCATGTGCTTTTCTCCATATAAAACAATACTAGATTTACATTCGCAATTCATCTTCAAATGCTTGTCAACTTGGGTATTCGACTCCGAGTCTGCCAGATTAGCTGCGAAGACATTTTTTCGCCAGAGGAATTGCATGAGTATCCATCTGGGACGCCAATTTTTCAGACTTTCCTTTATTGTACCTCACAAGTCAAATGGGTTGTTGGTCCTAGTCGAGTGGATCACACAAATCAGTTCCTCAACGCACTGCGATAAGATTTGGTACAAAGGTAGCAGAAGATGGTGCATTTTATGCATAAAGATTCCAAAGAATAAGCTTACCTCTATATAGAGAAAACAAAAATTAAGAGCCCGATTTCACTATCTAGGGCACCTGTCTGCTAACAAAGATGTCTGATTGACACTACAGCCAACAGGTGTTGGAAGGTTGAGAAGTGAGGGTGCAGACTCTGATCCCCATTGGCAGACAGTATTTTTGAGTCAGGTGTGGCTCAGGCTTTTCCGGGACGACGCACGATTTTGTCATTTTTACTAATTAAAACGGTGAATGGATACAATGCCGTTAAGAAAGATTCTTTGTTGGGCTATTTCGGCTTGCCACTATCTCTCGGCTGTTGTACCACCCAGACGTCTCGTTTAAAGACAACTGCCATGGTGCCGTGGTACCAAACTCGTGCTCTAATTTTTTTACTCTTTATACTCAGCTAGGTTTATTCTTTAAAATTTGGATGCACAGAGCACGCCATCTTCGGCCACCCCTGTGCAAAATCTTAGCTTGGTAAGTGAAGAAACTGATCTACGGTCCTTTTCAGGGGCACACGACCCATTTGACTCATGCGGTACGTGTGTTGCACGATTTATTTGAAATGTTGCAAGAGTGTGCTACCAATCCGTCTTTTGGCAAATATGTGCTGCCACCTAGACACACGACTGGGTTTGAGACTAAGTGACTAGGAAACAATGCGCACGCAAGGCCTCTCCCACCCGTTCCACACCCAAAACGTCAGCTACATAGTGTTCGCCCATTGAGTCGCTGTGCCCTAGATACGGCTCTCCCAATCTCGCCTTTCTCCGCATCAAGGGTTATCTTCTGCCATAAAGTCGACAAAAAGAAACCATCTTCCCTCTCTCCTCGGCCAGAAGGAAGAGAAAGACGCTACTAGACCCATTTACTCTTGAACCGACGTTTCTACAAAAGGTCCATCGCTTTTTCGGTGCTCGTTTTGCTCAAAACCGAGCCACTGGCGCTTGACTGCAGGCCAGGGCTACCCCGGACCTTGGTTGAAGAGTTTACCAAGAAGGTGTCCCGCTGCCACCTGGCGAGTAATCCCTGCCGTCTGCTGCTTGGCGGCCGAGAGGTTGTGCTCTTCAGGGAGGACGGCGTCGCGAGGGCATGTCGTAACGCACTTCACTTGCCCTGGCAAAAAGGGGGGCTGGATGTTCCTCAGCTGGTATGCTTGACACTGCTTTGTAATCGTTGAGCGATCGATTGACTTGCAATGGTAGATTTATTGATTGGCTCAACCACTGATTGACTGCAGTGATCAATTTACTAATTGACTTAACTAGTGATAGACGGCAGTGGTAGATTCATTGGTTCACTCAACTAGGTATTGACTGTAGTGATAAATTCACTAATTGCTTCAGCTATACTCAGTTTCACAAAAGCAGGCACATAGCCAGGATTCTGTTTCAGCGAGGGCCCACTCATGACAAAATGCTGTATGAGGGGGAGGGGGGAGAAAAGGGCCCATGCAAAATGGAAGATTTCGGGGGGGGCCCGGGCCCCATGGGCCTTCCCCCTGGCTACGTGCCTGCACAAAAGCATTATAGTCCCACAGGAGAATGTCCTAGAGATTGAAACGACGTCCGAGAGATTGACGCCAACTATGGGGCCTAGGATGACCTCTCGGACGATGTCGAGACCGACGCCTAGAGGACGACCTCAAGGACGGCATCGTCCTTGAGCATACGATCGAGCGGCACGTGCTTGATTACATATTTTTATGGCCATCTTTTGGGCACGACGCCGCCGCTTTTTCGCACAATGGGACAAGTAAGGCTTTCACCTTAGTAACTTAGCAAACTGTGGAGCCTGCGGCCCCCGCGACCCAAAAAGGGCGTTGGAGCAAGGCACGTGATAACACTCAGTGGTTGAGGCCACCGGGACCTCGTTACTGCCACAACAACAGTGCCGTCCGCGACAAAGTAGTTCTGGGCTTCTTTTTCTTTTAGTGGCAATTGAACTTGCCCGATTCTATCTCTAACAAGAAGATATAAGGAATAAATAATCATAGATTTATGAGTTTCAATTATATTCAAACCAAAAAAGTGACACCGTATCCGTATCCGGTCACAATATTTTTCTTCTTGTAGCGCCGTGGCCGTTGGCGATAGTCGGCGATCGCAGCCGTGTAATTGGCCGTTTCTACCCAAAACATTGCACTGTGTCCTAGCACCAATCACAGATTCGTGGCGAAATATAGCGTATGGTTGTCTCATGAGCTGTTTATGAAATGCACGCTATTCTAGCGGAAGAAAATGTTGCTGCGGTGGACGTCCATTCGAAGTTGGTTGGTTTCGGAGCAGACGACGGCCGGTCTTTCTGGGTCTCGCATTTGAAGTGGTGACACAAATGCTCCCGTGATCTCGGGTCACGTGCCTCGCTCCAACACTCTTATTGGGTTTAGGGGCCCTAGCCTCCACAGTTTGCCAAGTTATCGTGAAACGAGTATAGCAGGCATGGGCGAACAGAGGATTTTGGGTCCGAATCGAATTTGAAGCGAATAGTGATTTTGGCCGAATAATTTCGAATCGAATAGTTTGAATAGTACAAGCAACAAAAACCACAAGATATGTTTAAACTATAGTTTTATATTTGCCCTTATTTGGTATTAGAAGTCCTGCAATTGTTAATTTCAAGTGTATTGAGTTTGGGAGCACGAAATGGTCAAAATGTTCGGAAGCGTGCGCCACCTGGCCGGAAATCCAAGTCAGAGTGAGTCAAACCCGTTTATATCGAACTCGCAAGAACACGTCTACCAGTTCGATATAGCGGGTAAGTCGACATAAAAGTTTTTAATGAATTTGATTCTCAAAACTCCACTTTCTGCTGACGTTTTACACAGTGAAATAGTCTTGCATCTTCCGCTGCTATTTCTTCATTGCATCGGCGATAACGATATTTTTCTACGCTATCGACGGACTCCAAAATGCTGAGGCCGCTGCCTTCTATATTCGCGCATTAGCACCGAACTATGCCGAGAGCACGGAGTCCGAGCGGGAGCACCTTCTCCTGCAGAGCGCCATTTTACTCTGCAAGTTGGCTTTCCCCTACAACAGGGTGGCTGCATTGGGGGAAGCCAGCTAGCAGGACAAGCTGGCTTTTTTTTGTTGTTTCTTTTTCTGGGAGGCCGCTTCAACCGCTTGGAAGAAAAGAAAATATTCTCTTTTGTGGACAGAGCTCGGAGAGGGACCACAGAGCAACCACTCTCCGCTAGCTATATTTTCTTTTGTTCCTTGCGGTCAACGTGGCCGCCCGAAAAAAAAAAGCCAGCGTGCTCTGCAAGCTGGCTTTCCCCCAATGCGGTCGCTCGCGTTGGGGGAAAGCCAGCTTGCAGAGCAAAACGGCGCTCTTGGCAGCTCGATATATCGGTAGCGGCTGCTATTTTTGTTCGATGCAACCACAGTTTTTTGCTATATATTATCACTGGAACATTACTGTGCACAAAAATTTCTCGATATAAGGAATAATTCGATGTAAACGGGTTTGATATAGTAGGGTTTGACTGTATTTAGAAAGGTAGAATAATCCTATATTGTCGAATAATTCGATATCGTCAAATACTTCGATTCGAAGCGACTGCCGAATAGAACAGTATTCGATTGGCTATTCGTAATAACCGAATATTTGCCCATCCCTAGAGTATAGTGATTGACTGCGGTGGTAGATTCATTAACTGGCTCAACTACGGATTGACTGCAGTGATAGATTTGCTGATTGTCTTAACTAGGAATTGACTGCACTGGTAGATTATTTGATTTTCAGTAACTCGACTGGGGATTGACTGCAGTGGTAGATTCACTGATTGGCTCAACTAGTGATTGACTGCAGTTGTAGGTGCATTGATGGACTGTACTGGCAGATTCGTTGATTGGCTCAACTAGGGATTGACTGCTGTGGTAAAATCACTGATTTGCTCAACTAGTATTGACTGCAATATGCTCTTCACCTTGGAAGAAAAAGCAAGCTTGGCTAATCTGCAGTGCAGTTATTCTAAAGTTTTGCTGTCAGGCAAAGAAAACATTTTTGCATTTGAAAAATGTATTTTCTTACTACCAAATAACCGACCCTAAATGCACATGCATACAAGTATATCGTAATTCACCGCATAAAGTGGAAAATTAGTCAATTGTTTTTTTTTTACAGTTTTTGGGGTTACAACAGGCTTACCTAATCACTCCTCGATTGACAACTAATTAATCGCCATTGCTAGTTTATTCATTGATTCACTCTTGGAGGCCGATGCCACCCGTAAGCAGAAAGATGGAGTCTGGCATTTTACGAGGTGCAGCTTGAACGGTAGTTGAGCATGCCATTTCCGCTGCCAACGCCCCCCCCCCCCCCCCTTCTCGTGTCCTGCAGTACACCAAGTGCCTCGCTTCGAACGCGCACCTGTGCCCGCTCAACCTGGGGGTGAGCCCCGTGTACTGGGAGTGGGACTTTGCCCTCTGGCTCCTGCCGCTTCCCGACGCTGTGGCGCTGGCAGACTCCCACGACCCCTTCAGCGTCGTCCAGGGCGACTGCCTCTTCTTCAACCCGGTGAGGCGCCGCTTCGACGCACCGCGAACACCCGGTGCCCCTTTCGGCACGGTTCCCAAAGCCGCGGCCACTCCGCCGACGCGTCATACTGGCTGCATACTGAATCGAATGCCAAACTTGGTTTGCACCTTATTCAAAATTTTATATTACGTTCACAGATGTCTTCTTTTGACGCTATTTCAACCTGCACCTGTAGAACGATGGTGCTTGGACTCGCACCGGTGTGCCTTGCTTCTACGCGACGCACGTTAAAGACGCAGAGCCAGCGGTTGTGCTGCGCTGGCTAAATTTTTCATTTACGACGGAGACACCAGGCACTCATTGTGTCCGAATAACTTTGCGCTGTCTAAATGTGCACACAACGTAATCACTTTTTGCCGGTGGAACCTGGGGGGCGGGGGACTTGCCAGCCATGAACGTCTTTCTGCGACTTTCAGGGATCCTTCCCCAAGACAGACTTCTCCTTCAAAGTTTACCTGCCGGGCTCCAGAACTGCAGAAGACAGCCAGATCTCGGAAGATCCGTTCTGACCTGGCCGGAAGTTGTGAATGCGTTTCCTTATTTAAAGAACAATAAATTGTTTTCGAGGTCAAACTTCGCACAAGCCTGAAGAACGTGTCGTTATTTTTTGCCGCCAATCGGCTTTCCTGCAGTGCTTCTATGCAGTGCTGCAAACCTAGTCTGCAGTGCTTCTAAGCCGTGCTGCAGAGCAAGTGCAATGACCTCAAGATTTGTGGCCTGCTCTTTGGTGCTCCTGAAAGGTAAGGTGGGGATACATATAAGATGAATCAAACACATAAAAAGTTTGTTTTCTCTAGACAAAAAAAAAGTTTACAGTATTTATAGCTATATCATGTAAACAAATTTTTGTTAAAGGGACACTGAGAGGGTATTCATGCTCGCCAAGGTTGTTTTTTTTTGCATGACATACGAGAGTTAGACTATTCAGAACACAATTCGCCGCTCCAAATTCGTTTTCTTTCCGTCTGAAATCCGCCGATCGAGAACTGGCCAGGAGTGGCGCTCACTCCTCTCCGTGGTCACATGCCGTTTTCTATTGTTTAGGCACTACCACCAAATATAATCAAAGTTGTGGCTCATCGAATGCACATACTCAATACTAAAGATAGAAAAGAAATACGATACCCATATTTTGTGGCTTCTAAAAAGCTTCAAATACGTTCATTGGGGGGAAGAAAGTATCGCAGCCACGTGACTTCCACCAACTCTCTCCTCTTTTATATTTCTTCTTCCTCCCCAGTTCAGTTTAGATCTCGAGCAGTTGCGTTTTTTGACTTTATTAAAAATATATGCGACGCTGTAGCAAATTACTGATTAGCTAGTCTTCCAACACCACAATAAATCGCCTGGCAAAAAAAAAAAAAATTTTGGGGGGTGTCACTGGCATTCCTTAAAGCAGCACTCTAGGCAGGGTGTCTTTTCTAAGGCTGCAATTAATGCACCTTTGCATTAATTGCATTATAATCTTTGAGATATTAGTTGGCGAATTTCAGTTGCTGCAGCATCGAGACTAATATTCACCCCTGCCAGACTGCATTTTAATGTCAGTTCCATTGAATGACTTTTGACTGATCGGCCAATCAGCACGTGGCATTAAGTTTTTTGTGTGACAGAGGTATTGGACGACAAAAAGAACAACCCCCCCCCCCCCCCCAGTGAAGCAGTTACTTCTCTGCCTTGGGGAGCGGCGTTTTTCACACTTTGCCATCTTAGCCTTACTTTTGCACTGCCACAGCCACCGTAATTCACCAGGCGCTAACTTGAAGGGTTATCGCCAGGTGAATAACTAAACAATGGGCTGCACTTTAATTGAAATATGCTAGCTAAAATGATAGTTACCAAATTCTACTTAATGAAGCCACTAATTGCTTTTTTACACTCTGTCCCCCGAATCCGCCATGGTCAATAACATTATTCTGCAGTGCCCTTTCCATTTTGAATATTTTCTGTCTTGGAACAGACATTATAGGAAAAGCTTAGTTTTCGTTTTACTTGTTTCGTCGGGTCTTTCTTCAGAAATGTTTACGTGCAATGCACATACCCAAATGCAGACATTTGTCATTGGTGTCTACAAGATTTTTTTGGAGTTGTTTTTTTTTTCCAACTTTTGAGACAAAATTTTTTCTTTTGTCCCTACTACAGCATACCAGCATGAAGTATGAATTAAACATACTATAAAAGTATGCTGACATTATTTGAGCAAAGAGAATTACCCAAACCTTCCAGTCACAAAGTGCTTTATTCACACTGCTGACTCCAGGTTAGCAGCGGTTGAAGAAAGTGACTAAAATGTCAGCCAAAATTATTGGCAGTCACAATAAATAAAATGCAAAAGGGGCAGCATGCTAGCGCATGCCACACAAAAAAGCATCCAAGCAGCCTTTCGGCGACATTTAACGGAGGCATTTAACAAACTTTTACGAGACTTTGGAAAGGAGAATGTCGGGACCAGCAGTGAAAACCTAAATTGTACCGGAAAATATCACTTGGCACAAAATATTTTCATGCAGAGCTGCAAAACCGGACAGATCTCACAATATATAACATTTTCCAGACTCTATTTTGCCCTCAATGTACTGTGTAACACTATGCATTTGTGCCAGCACAACTAAAAGAATAGGCAATGTTGTGGCATTAGCATAGCTCACGTTTGACATTGTTTTTTTACAGGATGACAGTTCTCACTTGGGCAATATTATATTGCATGTCGAAACTTCCAGAGTTCTTAAAGTACAAATATAGGAATTAGTAGTATAGTATGCATTTCCTGCATGCAACAGTTTGTAACATGGTAGTCTTAGTGCACACCAACACCCCTGGGGAATTGCAACACTGTATATTTGTTTGTAATAATGCAAAGCAAAAGCTGCTTCTACGGCTATGGTCCCCGTTTAAATGTGTGTTCCTATGCCTTACAGTGCGTTTGCACTTGCGGATTCGAGAGCAAATTGGCACCAGCGGCAAGCGGATTTTCGGGTTGAATGGTTAAATTGGCTCAGTGCTGGCAAAACATCTCGATATGGGCCCGGACGGATCCAGATTTTTCACCAACGACGAGCGGATTTCCCCACCCGGCTTTGAATTCCGCTCGTCGCCGGCGCGGATCCGCTTGCAAAGTTGCAAGTGTGAGTGCACCATTAAACAACTTCCCCATACTTTGTAAGGCTTTGGGGGTAAAAATGCCTCTTGAATGCAATTTTTGCTCGACTGCTAACAAAACGCAAAAATTCAATCCAGAATTTAAAAAAAAAAAATGCAACTCTGGAGACGATTTTTAAAGCTACATGTAAAGCGTATAAAACTTAATAAAGGGTGTTCCACGTAACTTTAGCCCAATTTTAATATTATTCTGGTGCATTTCAGGAAGACGAAACCAAAGGAATAAGTTTGTTCATTGTTTGGAGCGAGTCGGGCTATTTCTTTTTTTATTTTTCCAAATTAAATAAATAATTAGGATTAATGACTGAAATTCCTGAATATCCTATTTAGAGCAAACGTTCCACAGATAAAGTTGTACAGCATCCTCAGAAACATCCAATCCAGTGTTTTTTATGGAGGAACATCTAACAACGCTTCGTTTTGCTGGGCACCCAAAAAAGCCTGCGAGTGACCAAAATAAAAAATGTGCGACTTTGTGCTCGGGTGTTTTGTGCCGTAGCGGTTCCAGCCGTGGCTTGAAAAAACTAGGCCCGCACGCTGGACAGCCCAGATTCGTGCGACACTTCGTTTCACTTTAGGTCCAAGCGCGGCAGAAGTTACAGCCGAGCTGCCAATGAAACGGCGCGAAAAGTGCACCATCGTTGCACGCTTTCTGCGCTTGGTGGGACAGTCCGGTGGAGGAGCATGCACAGAAAGGCGGAAACATTGGCTCGGCTCGATTAGCCCTTCGGCTCGCGATGTTGGCCGCGCTCACGAAGCGACTCGCTGTTGCGTATCTTGCGTACAGTGTGGTTATTAGTGCCCTACTTGCTTTAGACTTTTTTCGAAATGATGCATTATGTGCAACTGCCATCAGTTGGTCGAGCACTGGACACGAGCGATTTGTCGGCATTCGGAGTGTGCTCAGATCGAGTGGCGTTCCGCACGAGTGCTGCGTTGGTGCTTTGCATTAACTCGGAACCAATCGCGGGCTTCACGCCGGAAGCGACGAGACCAACTAATGGTGGCTGCGCATAAGCTATGCATCGTTTCATAATTTCAGGTAGTCTAATATCGCTCGAGCCATGCTTCAGAGCGCTACAATATAAGGTGCATGAGGGCACAACCACGTGTTCTTTCTATAATTTACGGGCTTTTGTTTTAGAAACTCAGAAAAATGAATTGTGTTTCTTGATTTCTTGATAATAACCACTGAATTGGATGTTTTCAGGATGCTCTACAACTTTATCATTGGAACTTTTCCTCTAAGTAAAATATTTTAAATGTTAATCTTAGTGATTTCATTGGGCAAAACACAATGCACAATCTTATACCTTTGGCTTTGTCTTCCTAAAATGCACCAAAATATTTTGAAACCTTGGCTAAAGTTACGTGGAACACCCAGCATACAAACTACAAATTTAAAAAATTCTATATAAACACTTGTTGTTCAAGTTCCTCTTTTAGGCAAAGGAAATTTGTTCGCCTTGCTGCTTTAGGATTATTGAGCATCCTGCGATACAATTCTAAAGGTGCAGACATAAAAAAATACTAAAACTCTTAAAATGCACGTTCGACTCAAAAAGTTTTAAGAAGTTAAAAAAGAGAACTCGAGAAACTAAATTTCTGTTCGCGAATATCTCGCAAGGAAGCCTAAAAATTCTGCTCCCCTAAAATGAAAACAAGCAGTGTTGCGGTCAAAAATCGCCCAATCACGCTTCTCCGAGGCAGACGGAATCGAGGTGCCTGTTGATCGCGCCATGTTCGACCAAGCACTCGCAAACCGGACACTCCACAAACTCGGCACTGGTCGCAGAAGCTTGAGCGCCTGCCGTAACGTTGGTCTCGCGTTTGTTCGCAACATTGTTTGCAACGCTGTCCACCGCTTTCTTTGCGACAACATCCACCACGTCAACAGACTCGTCAAACGTGACGTCTTCGCAGTCGCTGTCGCTGTCCGAACTGATCAGCTCCCTCAGCAGCCTCATTCTCGCTGAACTCGATTTCCTGCTCACTTTCCTCACCCCCGTCGACTCGCCACCGCTGACTCGCCCTTTGTTCGAGTCGCCGAAGATCTCGACGAGCGTCCGCTGCACCGCCGCCGACTTGGACACCAACTTGGTCGGCGAATTTGTGCCGTGTCCGTGTCGATTGCTCCCCACCTCGAGTCTTAGCTTCGACATCGGACTGCCGAGCAACAACGTCGGCTTGCCGGGACTCCGGTCCCTGCTGCCAACGTTGGTCGAACTTTCGAATGCAAACGTTGGTTTAGGTCCGCCCACTTCCTCGTCGGCCTTGGATCTTGGCTTGGAAGTTGATTCGTCGTGGCGCGACGCCGCCGGTTTGTTCGAACCGCGTCGATCGCCTCCGACATTGGTCCACGGCTTCGACGCCGACCCGTTTTGCAACGACGACGTCGGCTCGTTGCCACGTTGCGTCGTGCCAACGTTGGTTCGCCGTTGCTGTGACGTGGGATTCGCGACGCCGTTCGCCGTGGCTCGGTTTCCGAGGACGCAGCTCGGTCCCGAGGTGGCGCCCTCCGCCTTTTTCGGCTGGAAGTAGCGACTTACGTCTCCCGCACGGTTGCCGCCGCCGCCGAGAGTGTGGCCTTTGCCGCTGAAGGGAACTCTCGGCTGCTCTGGAACAGGCTGCAGAAATAGACGGGCAAGCTTAAGTCAGTGGGGTGGATGAGAAAAGCTGCCGTTTTAAAAAAACTTGGCTCCCAAAATAAATTTTTTTCTGGAGTGCTTGGTGGTTAGGAAACATGCACCACAAGATAAAATTTTTCCCTGTTTTTGCCTGCCTGGCCGTGAAAATCAATTAAAACTTGCGCCTCCACAGCAAAACGAGCGAGTTTGTGACGTATACGCTGCAAGCTTATTCTAAGCAACCTCATGCCGTCTCGATTCAACAAGATCACTTTGACTGAAAAGTTGCTAGACTCTAAAAAAACAGTTTGAGCCGAGCGCATTGTGTAAATTAATATTCAAAGACACTGAAATTATTATATTTTTTTTATAAAGGGCTTAACATATTTTTTTATTTTTCTACAAAAAGAAACAAAAAATTTAGCAATATTTACTTTGTTAGACGCAATCTAGGTGGGGGTAGCCCTGCTCTAGGCCCCGCCCGGTGCTTTCTAAACCAAGCACCTTTTCTCAAGTCTCACTGATTGGAGAGAGGATTCACGTGCGAAACGTTGGTTGTAAAATTGTTCCCCCGTGCCATAATACTAGTGTTTTAATCAAAAATATTTTTATGCTTGAGAAACAAATAATCTAGATAAAGTTATTATTGTTTAAATAAATATCCTGAGATTGCCTTTCTGCTTCAGTTTCAAACGATACCAATTATGGCTGCCTGCGTCAGCGGTGCAATCAACGAGAGCAGCTCGTCGAGCTCGTCTATTTCGATGAGTGCGAGTCGTTCTCCATCCACTGAGGTGTTTAGACAAAGATCTGCTCAACTGATCTAGTCTGCACCAAACAACTGTCGCAAGCTTTCGGAAGCGCCGCTGGCGCTGTGTGGATGGTTGGGTTCATGATGGGCAGTAGCGGGACTGGCCTGAGTCTAGCCTCTCACTTCAACTATGTTGGTTGATCTCGAGTGATTGGCTCCTTTGCGTGTGTTGATACCGAATAAAGATATTGATTTCCGTGAAAGCGGCCCGGCAGCTCTGTGAATAGTGCGACCGTTGTGATTGCAACCGGTTTCGATACCCTGAAGACACCTACACAGGTGAGAATTCGCGAGCGATTTGGCTGGAGGCAATTGGGTGTTTGGCTCGCATCAAGTTTGTCCAGGTTTGTTCCCGTCATATCGCTTCAAAAGGAAAGTAGCTATCAAGTTTTAAATGCACCTGGCCAGCCAGTACGAATATTTTTAGGTCGCGTTTTAGTTGTGCGTCATGATGCTCACCCCTTTGTTCCCGGATGCCATGCAAGAAAATAACAAGAACAGACAAGCTGGAAAGACTACATATTTATTTTGCTGATCTTTTTTTAGTACTCTGGGTCGCTTTTACCTCACACCGACAAATGCTGGCAGACGCTTGCATTGGACCGTGACTCGTGCATGATGGACGCTAGAATGCCGCGTTCATGGTCGCGTCTTACAAGCTTTTCAGATTTTTTTCGGACGGGGGCGGAGTAGCAGACAGACGAAGGAGAAAACGGACAACAATGTGCAGCTTTCATGTCCACATCTGGGCATTGTAGACGACGATACACGGTGGTGTGGAAGAGCAGACGATGCCGGAGGCTGCCGTGCACCTGCTCGCACGACTGGCAGGCAGTGTCAGACTTCCAGACTAGACGCACTGGACGTCGGAAAAATCGAGACAATAGGCTTCCGAGCATGTTCGGCCGAGCGGCCAAGCCAATCCAGTAGTAATGGGCGGGGCCACTGATCTGTGGCCGGAGCTTAGAACAGGCCGTGACCTCCAGCAGTTTGATACTTTGGACCCATGTTATGGATAAAAAAAAATGGCGCGAGATGGCTAAGAAAACACGCGTTTCATGTAAGGCTCGTCGAATTATGAGGCGCTATACTCACTTTTTTTGCTTGGCTGCCGTTCTGGAAGAGAGTCCGAATATCGGGGCCGTCCGTCTTGAGCTTCTTAGCACCCACTGCATTTTGTGAAACTCAAATCAATAAGTATAAAAAAAAGCAGTTGGGCTCGAGAGTCAACTTGGTTCAAGAGAGGCATTCCTTCAGTGCACGGCTTCTTAAAGATTCCATCTCGATGGACATTATCTCTCGACTGATAGCCCAGGAACTCTTCCTGCGGTCTTGGCGTCGATATACAATAAAGCGGGGCAGATGCCCACAGGCCCTCTAATAATACTTCACGTACTAGGGAGTGATTGCCTTGCAGCTACGCATCAGTGTGCGACTCGGATATTCAAAAATCAGCGCTCAAACAGAAAAAATGCTTTACCAATTAGCAACCCAATGTCGTTAATGCAGTCACCTCTTCCGATTTCTGCAATGTTCTTTGTCAATGAGTGCACCATGAAATATTTCTATTTATGTGCTTTCGTCTCCTGCTAGGATATCGAAAGAGGTTAGCAGTATGAATAAACAAACAAACAAGCAGAGGATCAATCAATTTTGAAGAGTCTGGGAGCCATAAGCGTACATTGGGAGGAGAACCCGGCTTGGGAGCCCACGTCACTTCGTGCCATGAACAGTTTATTTCACAGAGGTTTTCGAAATTGCATAATAACGGCCGATTCACGCAATGGACTGATTTGCTAACAGATTGATCACGCGACGACACATCCGCGGTTCGTCCGTCTTCCAAGCGCATCCACACGAAAGAGACGACGAGCAGACGATAGCGAGGATGGACCGAACCTGTTCACAGCCCCACAGTACCGCAAATCTCCAACATCCCACGATCGCACTGTGGCATAGTTGTCCAAGAGCGAAGTCGACGTTTGTTACAGTGAAAAAGAGTCATGCGCCGCTGTTGCGTGCAGAGCGAGGCACAACACCGCGATAGGCTTAGCGCCCCTAGGTTTACATAGAGCCATATATTCGGAGAATCTGGCCAGTGGGTGTGGCGACGAAGGCACTGGACAGCAGAAAAAGTGGAATCTAGAGAGTAAAGTGCAGAAGGAGCGATAGAGGAAGGTGGGAGCAAAGAGAAAAGCAAAGAGAAAACAACCGCCATTTTGACGGAACACACTTTCGGTGCAAAGCACTGTTGAAGCTACACGTCGCTTGCTAAGGGCTGACCTCTTTTTCGCCCGAATAAAAGTTTGTGATCAAACGTCAAGAAAACTTCATTCGTTAGCTTCTTAACCCACCGAGGAATAACAGCATATTATTTTCTTGGCAGAGCCAGCGATATAAAAGAAAATAACCAAAATTTAGATGACAATCCCCCCCTCTCAGCTGGGAGCAGCCGGGAATTCATGCGCATGCGTTCACGCCTTTCACTCTGTGCCGCGGAATGATTAGCTCACTCGGAAGGGGGCGTTACTGTGGCGAGACCATAGACTGGCCAAACTTTCCCCGGCTCTGGGTTAACTAATCGAAAGAAAGGCAGTGACACAAGCATGGTCCTGCTCGAGGAGGCTTCGGCGTAGAGGCAAAAGGCTCTGGGGCTCAGGGAGGAGCGTTTGGAAATGCCTTCATACAATTCGGACTTGTGTACAACACTTCAGCACGCCATAGCCACAAGAAAGAGCTTGCAGGGTAAAATTTTTATTGGACGTGCAAAAAAAATTGTGGCGCACTGGATGAGTTGTGACAGAAACTTCCTGACACGGACCCGGAGGAATACCGGAACCTGCATCGCATCAGCCGGGCAAAGTTTCTGCAGCTTCTTTCTCGCATGGAACTAAGATCATGCAACAAACTTAACCAACTTACGCAAAAAGCACAAGAATGCGGCATCTCCATTTGAATCGTCCAAAAACAAAAAACACAAAGAATATGTTGTATCGCTGCCACATTAAACGCTTTTCAAGCCAATCACCCGGCCGAAATTCACAAGGGAAAAGGCGCTGAGCCACTTCACCTCGTGTGTCCACAGACGAGGCCCGAATCGCAGGGATCGGTAACGTAACGATCATGTGGTACGTGGACAAAAATTGCGATTCAATTCGTCGCATGAACGGCACCGCGCCTCACCAGGGGGCTGCTTCTGCGTCCCGCTCGTGTCCTTCCGCTTGCCCTCCGGTTCCCGGATCTTGACGAAGGTCCCGCCGCACGACCTCTGGTGGTCGGCCCACCAGGGGTCTCTCTCCGAGGGTGCCCGGTTCATGGCACGCTTCACCATGCCCCAGAAGGGCCGCCGGTGCTGGCAGGGCCCCGTGCAGCGCCACCAGTGACGCCGGTAGCTCGCCACCTCGTCGTGGAAGCTGTGGTACACCTGGCAGCGACAAGGCAAGAACAGCCGACCGTGAGTCCGACAGTTGTGAGGCGTCGGCCGTGGCCGTCCAAAGGGGACGCTGAGAATCAAGAGGAGATACGATTCCGACGCAAGTCGCAAGGCGGTCTGCTTCCACGGTTCTTTTTGCCGGGGCGAAAGTTCCCTCCGTCATATTTTGCCCGTGTCCTCCGCGGGGGCCTCGACCGCGCTCGTCACGTGGATCCGGACAGCCACTCGCAAGCTCCGTTGGCTGTCGGTCAATCGCCCGAGGCCTCCGCTGCTCTCCGTGTCCCGAAAGCGGGAAAGGGAAGGGCTGCGTTCGAAATCTGACCCAAATGAATCCGAGCTACTCCGGCACGTCATGTCACGTGATAACGCAGATAGAGCGACGCTAAACGTGTGTAGGTTTTCGAACGTAATGGTACAAGCCCCTTACCCTGGAGTAAGATAGAATAAAGTTTGGAACACGACCACGGATATGAGGGCCCGGCAGAATTTTGGACGGGCCTTCAGACTGCACCGTCCTCCAGTTATTACGACTACATTTTTGTTAGCAATACTCATGCACTTACTTTCACACGCAGCATGTGGAGAACTAGATTCTTATGTTTATAAAAGGTGCTTCGTAAGTAACACGACACAAAGAATGCTGGGACTAAGAAGTGAAATTACTATTACTGTATGAAATCTGTTGATGCTTAACGAGTGAACAATATTACATTGTTTGTTCCCTCCACTCACCCGCCCCTTCGTGTAATAATATTATCTCTGAATATCTTTGAGGGAAAGTTTGAGGGAAAGTCTCAAACTTGTATTCTAGCATTAAGAATACCGGAACATGCCGAGCGGCACAATGGTACTTATTTATTTACTTATTTATTATTTTTTATTCATACTGTTGGCCCACAGGCCGTTACAGGAGTGGGATATTGGTAAAACAATCAAATTTTATGCACAATTCCACGAACAATACATTTCATATTTGTTTCAGCTTAAAGACGCACTCAAAACATAGGCAAACAAAGAAAACAGAAAACACACAAAAAATAAATAAACAAGTAAATAATTAGATCCTATTTTGTTGGGCTAGACTTCTGAGAAGGGCTTCAAAACCCTCAACGGTGTGACCTTCAAAAACATCATGGGGCAGTCTGTTCCACTCATCTATAGTCCGTGGAAAGAAGGAATATTTAAAAGGATCGATTCGCGCTTTCATTGGCATTATCATTTTATTGTGATTTCTTCTAACTCCTCTAGTAGAACAAGCTTTTAAATATCGCAGTGAGTCTATGTTGAGACTATTTTTTTGTATCAAATAAAGAAATTTGAGTCTAGCCACTTTTCGACGCTCTGCCAGTGATTGCAAGTTGAGATGAGTAAGCATCGTACTGACAGACTGAGTCCTTCGGTATTATGTTGTGATAAATCTGGCAGCTCTTCTTTGTACCTTTTCTAATTTTTCAATTTGGTTTTTCCTGAATGGGTCCCACAATTATTATTTTTTAGGTGAGGGGGGAGATTTCTAACGTGATTGGTGCACACTCTTGCATAGTAACGCTTTACAAGCGTTGATGTGCTACCGTAACTTTGCCACTTCATTTTAACCTTACACCATAACACACAAATGTATTGGAAAGTAATTTTTAACTGCAGTTTTTTTTTTTACTTTTAACCGAAGTAATGATGGCACAGTTACATTTAAAAGTTTATTTGGGATTAAAAATATGTTGATCCCCTAGCAAAAATTCCAATAGAGATTTCTATTGGTCTGGTAGGAACTTCTATCGGTCCCATAGGAATTTGTATTGGTCCCATAGGAATCTGTATCGGTCCCATAGCAAGTTCTATTGGTCCCATAGGAATGTGTATCGGTCCCATAGGAGTGTGTATTAATCCCATAGGAGTGTGTATCGGTCCCATAGGAGTTTGTACTGGTCCCATAGGAATTTCTATTGGGCTTATAGGAACTTCTATCGGTCCAATAGGCAGTCCTATTGGTCCCATAGGAACTTAGACTGGTCCCATAGGGACTTTATCAGACCATTAGGAATCTTTATTAGTCAAACAAAAAGTTTTGTTGACCGAATAGGAATGCCTCCTTGACTAGTGGAAACCTCGAATCATTCAATAGGAATGTCTAAACCAATTGTGCATGTCCATTTGAGCTATAGGAATCAATTACACATATGTCTGTCAGAATAGCCCGTGTCAGAAATACACCGGCCCATTTGACGCATGTGTTATATAACCTGGGCTGTGTGATGCAAATATCTATTCCACGTGCGAAGGATGTGTCCACACTAGAACAGCATGTATAAAAGTACATTAGTCAAGTTAATTATGCGACAATGTTATTATGCGACAATGGAAGTGGACTGGATGGTACTCTTAAGGCAAACAAGGCAAACTTCGATCCCCTGACCTTCCCGAATTGATCTGGGTTTACATACCTGCTATGTATTTGTTAACCAAACTAAATGAAGCATTGTTAGGAATCCCACAAACATAAAGCTGATATTGATTTGACATTATTTAATTTCAAGGTTCTTCAGAAGGTTGACGCTTGAAAAGTTTTGAAAGCAGTAAGGCTCATAATGAAGACAGAAAACAAAAGAAATCCGGCCTCTTAATTTTACTTTCTCCAGCCTGAAATTTCCAGCATGCTCGAGTCATCTAATTAATGGCTTTAGCCTTAATCACTTTCTGATGTGACATCATCCTCCACCTTTGCCATGCCGCCGATTAACTCTTTTTGTTTGTTCTACTGCTCATTTTAGAATTTCAAGCAAGAAGTATGCCATTATGCTCTGGCACATTCAAGACTCAGTTTGTGATAGTGTTCAGCATCCAGATGCCTCCACAACAGGAGAAAGTGTACCCCAAGACCCTTTTTTGCATAATAAAATGTATAAAGGCACCACCACACCCTGTGTGCTCATGCAGATGGCCTATATGCCAATGCACCAATAGGCCGATACACCTATAGGCCGATACACCTAAAGGCCCATACACCTATAGGCCGATACACATATTGGCCGATACACATATTAATATCAATAAACCGATAAGCTATCGGTTTTCTCTATGGGAATTTTCACTAGGGGAAACAGCACCGCTGAACCATCCCCCTTTTCTGTTCTAAAATCTGGCTGTCCGTGCCTTCCGAGTCTGTGCTCTGTTGGTCAATAACAAATTCATCTCTAAAAGTAACTTAAACCCGACTGGAAGCACACTGTAATTTGCCAGGAATCTGCCAAACCCAGCAGTGATTGACTCTTCGTAATAGATAGGTGCACGCACTTCGCTTACGAAAAGCGTCTATTGTCTGCCCGAACACACAGTGATTACATTTCCAAGTAAACTGAGGCCTCCTTATTAACGCATAAAAGACTAATGATTAGAAAAGCAGCAACAAAAAAGGCACTACTGAATTCACAGCAACCTGGCCAAGTCAAGCGCACACAGAACCCACAGTTCGCGGGCGGGCAGAAAGCTGCGAGAGGAGACGTAGCTTACCGTGATTTTGGCGCCGCTCTGTTCGTTGATGCGGTGCATGTGCTTGTGGAATTCGGTACCATGGGCATCATGGTCCTTTAAAAAAATAAACGAAGACTCAGCCTTATACTTCTAGCCAATTTTTCAGCTAATGTCGCACAAAAAAAAAGAAAAAAAGCCTACAAGAGTCACTAGTGGGGCACATCTCGCACTTCCCTTGCAATAAGGCCACTTTGTCCTGGCCTTGCGGCCAAGTGAGGAACACTAAAAAAAATGACCGCATCTCCACGTGGTGAATGATGTTGATTGGGGCGAAGCTCTGGTGGTGCTGATGATACTGATTTTATTGTTCATAGCTAGTGCCGATGGTGCTGATTTTTTTTTTATTGCTCATAGGTAGTGCTGAGTTCCGGGTTGCGTTTCGACTTCATTATTACTGCTTTATGGTCGGTGAAATGCAGAGCCAGTGGCTCTTCTAGCGCATCAGCTTGGATCCGCTTGAGGCCGTGGGAACGCATCTCCGCCGCTTAAGTCAACGGTCCATGTCAGAAAGAGAATGTGTGGTATGGAACGTGGTTATATACGCATTTGAGCATTCGACCGCAGCGCCCTCTCGTCTATAAATGTCGAGCCAATGCACGCAAAGTTTAACCCATTTGACCGCAGCGCCCTCTCCTGTATAGACGTTAAGCGGCTACATGCAATGTTTCATCCATGACATCCCCAACTCTTGAGTTACTACCACATCTCAAAGCCCCCTACTCGTCCCGCAGTCGTGGCCGAGTAGTTAAGGCGATGGACTAGAAATCCATTGGGGTCTCCTTGCACAGGTTCAAATCCTGTCAAATGCGCAAACATTTTTTCTTTTTTTAGAAGACAGATGGGATGGCAATCGATGTGAGCACGGATGCCGGACAAGGCTAGACCCTAAGGAGCTTCGCCCCTAATAAGAAATTGCAAAAAAAAAACAATATTTAAGAAGTTTTTAGAACCACGGCTATCCCGTAGTACAGTGGTTCTCAAGCTGTGGTTTGCTGACCCCCAAGGACCTTCAGTTCTTCACGGTGGTACGTGCCAAATAAAAAAAGAAAGGCTCTTAAAAAAAGAAAAAAGGAAAATCCTTTTGTGCCATTGCACAAGAGTTCTGATGCAGAACGCATTGCGGATTCCTGAACAGCCTTCGAGGTGGTCGGGGGTCCGCCACGACCAAAAGTTTGAAACAGAGGTCGCACAGCCTTTGAGATGTTGAACTCAGTCTCATGTGCCATCGCTTCCTTATTATCCGCGAGTCCTACTAATATCTTGTTGCAGAGGCTAGCAAGTTTTACGGTGAAGTAACGATAATAATAAACATTACTATTATTGCCATTATGTATTCACAAAACTATAAGCAAACAACCAGAAAAAACATGAAAGCAACGCAACTGAAACCAGACTCATTTGCTTCAGCATTGTTCTTTCGAAAGTTGATAATAGTACCTACTGCCGTAAAATACCAGGGAAGTGCCCAAGCCACTTTCACTGAAAAATGGGTTAATCTAGACACGGGCGCTCGTCCGTTCAAGTCGGGTGCTTAACGTATAATTTGCAGAATTACCAAGTTTGTAAAATGTTAACAGTGGGTGCTTGAACGAAATGTGTGCTGCCACGGCATTTTACGGTACATTTTTACGAATCACTCAAGCCAAGGTATAATCGCGTGTAAGGGCCGCACCCCCGTATTTAGGACAAAATATTTTAAAAAAAAATAGAGAAATTATTTGTGTATGCGCCGCACCCCCTTGTTTTTGAGGCGCGCCGAGTGTAATGCATGAAAGTTTCTATGAATATATATCGCTAGGTGGCGCTAGCCACCGCCCGAGCACGTGGCGGCACGTCTCCGCATCCCCGACATTTGCTCTCCACTCATCTGTAGCATCCTATGGCACAATGGCTGCCGACCTCGATCGAGGTCGGCCGCACCGTCGGGACGCGTTTATGTTGCGGCCGGAAGACAATGAGAAAAGATAAAGGATATGTCAGCTTCCGTTGCAAGCGCGAGGAATGGGGATTCAGTGGGCTCGGCTCGCGCGTGCACTCGGGGTTTCTGAACGCCACTGTACGCTCTGGAGGGGTTTTCTTTTGTTCTTCGATTCATGTCAAAGCATTGTGATTTGTCTGCCTTTTCGCGCAATCAGAGCTATGGGCAAGTACCGCTTGAACAGTCATACGGGATTCAAGTCGAAAGTTGCCGCGCATGCTATCAAGTACAAAAAAAAAAAAAAAAAAAAGATGCGTATTGCGCAGTATGTAAACTAATTAAATCCAACTGACGATTCAGTCCGGATTCCGGAGTGAAAGCGTTTTCGACCAGTGCAGCCGAGCGCGCTCATGTACGTGCATTTCAAAATGTGGATACAGATTTTTTTTTTTTTAATCGGTGTATGGGCCGCATCTTGAAAATTTGCCCTCAAATCGGGAAAAAATAGTGCGGCCCTTGCACGAGTTTATACGGTATTTGTGAGAAGAGCAGACATGTTTGTGCTAATTACAGCACTTTTTTTTTCTTTTTTTTTTTTGGCAGGGTTATTATTTAGAGTACACCACAAATTCCTAAACGATCCATGCTAAAGTGATACAAATTTATGTGCCGTATTTTAGTCGTGCAGCGTCAAGTTTGGCACACATATTCTAACACATTTAGGGATTTTAAGAAAATAAGCCCCATATAGCAACTTTAAGTAGGAATACATTCCCCGTCACAGTTAAAATCAAGCTGATGCTAATCACTGACAGAATGAGAAAGACAACTTACCCTGTTGTTATGTGTGACAAAGAGGAAAGCATGGATCATCTCATGCTGAAAGAAACAAACGTTTTTCTTCAACATTAAGTTGTCCGCAATTTAATTCTAATTCGGCAGATGCCAAGGATGGTTTTTCATCTATCAACACGTATAAACTTCTGAACAAAAAAGTTAGCAACACCTAAATTAATTTTGCATGAATTTTCGTTAAGACTTTTAACATTTCTGGTAACATGAAGCTGGCAAAAACTAGAAATCCAAGCATCAAACCTGCTTTCTCTTCGTGTAACCTCCACTGAAAATGACTACAAGCAGAGTTGAAAGGTAGCACGAAAATGGTGTACTTACAAGAAGTGTCTCCACAAGGTCTTTGCGTGGCCGCAGTTTCAACAACGGCTCGCTCAGCTTCACGGAACAGAGGCCACCCCTTCCTTCGTAGCAGCAAAGACCAGCACACCTGAAGAAGGGGATGAAAGTCTACCCTGAGACTCACAAAAAGAAGGATACCATGCTCTCACCACCGTTACTCTTACGATTCAAAGCATCTTGATTTCAACAAGTACAGCCTGGCGAGGAGCATGGCCGGGTGCTTCAGTGAGCCCATATTAGGGATTGCTTAGGTGAAAGAATCAACTGGGACTTCATTCATATTTCTGTTTTACCATGCCAGACAACACCCACAACATTCCAAATAAAAAACACACAAAAAACAACACAATTTTACTTAGAGAGTACAGCTCAAAACAGGGCCACCAAACCTTTTGGCATTAGAGTACGCAATGAGGGATTCAAGTGTAGTGTCACCTAATCACGGTTAGGTGTAAAAGGGCGGAGAGCTCCTGAAGGAAACAAAGGTAAGAAATAGCCAGCTATATTTTCAAATTTTCCTACAAAAACGCAGGCCTTTGGCTTTCTAGCCTTGTGTACAAGTTTCCTTTTGGCCCACTGCACAATATGCGATTAGTAAAATCCCAATCTAAACTTGTCTATCCCAGCCCAAAGCTAATTTCACGGTCTCTTCACGGTCACGGTGGTGCACTTCTGCTTGGATGGGCAACATTGCCGATCCAAACCGGGGATCCTCGGATCGTAGTTTGAGAGTTCGGAGGCTTCGCTCTCCCTTACCGCACGAGTGAGCTGAATTGCGAGGTGGGGGTCTTACAGGGTCATGCGAGAGCTCCACTTGACCTCGACGCCGAGCAGCTTGCCCCAGAAGTAAGCGTCGTTGAACTCCAGGAAGAGGCCGTGGATGTCCGGGTTGGGGTCCGTCAGCTCCCAGTACGGGTCCACGACCGACACCTTCCGCCGGGGCGGTGGCACAGACGGCTGAGGGAAGGGCGAAGTTTGGAAACCCTGAAGCCGCACTCGAACTGCCCGTCCGTCGTACAAAAGACACAGTGTTCGCCGAAAACACGAGGACAGATTTATCAGCAAGCATAATCCGAGCATGTCCGGGCACGTTCGCCTCGTATGTATGTGTGCTTCGAATATGTCCGCAGACAGATTTTGTGTAGCCAATGTGGTGGGACCATCCTTACAAAGAAGAAGCATACTTTGGACGGTGTCACTGACTGTTTTTTGTACGACGTACAAGCAGCGTGAGTGGGGCTTGAAGGGGGTTGTATTACGACACTGGCTCGAAATGTTCCTCCTTTTACGCAAGCTTACTGGTTACCGCCATGACGCAAGAATGCTCAGACGACGTACTCCAGGTCGCTAGTTGTATGCAGTGCAGGCGACTGCAATGCCAGGTGAAGGGAGAAAGGGTGGGCACTAGGGAGGTGGAAACGAGAGAGGAGGGCAATGGTGGAGGAGGGGACAAAGGGAGAGCACTATACTCCAGTCACCCTTAAACTGAGGCAGTGCCTCCTATATAAGTTAAACTATGCCTGTCAGCTCCGAGCACTGGCAAGCGGAAGGAAGAGGGCAAATAGTATGTGTGGTTGCTGCACGGTGGAGTCACCTAGGCATACAAACCTGCAGTGTATCGAAACCAACCACCTCTTCCGTAGGAGGATCAATGATGTCGTCCCAGCAGTACCGACAGCAAGAAATCTAAACGCTTTTGACCACGAGCTCGGGACCAGCTCGCCGTTTTTCAACGGAATATTGCTTCTTATTTTCCTACCTTTTCACCCGCACACGACCCGGCGCCAACTATTTCTATGCGCGCGATTCAGGGTGACCGCCAAAGCCCCAAACGGCCGCCAAAGCAGACGGTCAACCGGCCAAGCGTTCTCCGCGTTCGCGTTGCAAAAGCGAAGCCTGGCCGTGCTTGTTTCGTAGTTTCGTATTTTGTCTCAGCGAAACCCGTTTGAATCAGGGTGGTCACATCCAGAACAGTGTTTCACATGTTGTTAAAAAAACATATATATGATATATCTTCAACAATAATGTAAATACAACATGCTAGAGAAATAGAAAAAACGAACGTCCGCCAGGCGACACTACCTAACCGTACGTGCGTGTTGTGAGGTGAAGCATCCGGCCTGGACACCTCTTAGAGAGAAGCTGACAGGCATAGTGTAACTTATATAGGAGGCACTGGCTGAGGCTACCCGGCTCTCCGCACGTGGGTATGACCGGGAGCGCGATGACGGGTAGAAGACAGGTGCATGACTAGTCCAATGAGGACGTAGCTTCCACCGCAGTCTCAGCTTAGGGGTGAATGGTGTATAGGAATATTAGAGAGAAGAGGAGGTTTCTCTCTTCCTTCCCAGCCTTCCTAGTGCTTGCCCTTTCCCTCCTCGCCTGGCGTTACCTTTGCCTGTACCGCATGTAACTAGTGTCAGGGAGTATGGGTCACAAAGGTCTTTGCTGTGGCGTAATTTCTGGGATATAAAAACAAACTTTTTCCCGTCAGTCTCGCCTTCGCAGAATGTGATGGCATAGTAACGGGCAGTGCATTGTTGCAGTCGTGAACATTTTGTTTCATATAATTTTTTTTTTCTGCAACTGCGACTGTGCAGAGGGTAAAACTAACGCGTGTTGCGTATGTCATTAACGTGGAGGAGTAAGTGTACCTAGGGGGCTGTGTTCGACAAATGTTTCGTTTCTGCTAAAAAGAAACGTAAGTGGATATCGCGTGTGATTGGTTAGAGGCTCAAATGACGAAAGTTCCCTCTTTCGTCATTTCAGCCTCTAACCAATCAGACGCGATGTCGTTACTTCCGTCAGTTCCATTTCTTTTGAGGAGAAACGAAACATTCGTCAAACATAGCACCCCAGGTATTTAGTAAGCGTAGAAAACTTGTTGCACCGCCCCTTTAAGCCATCACCTAAGATGTCGACGGTTTGACATTCGGCCTCTTACAGAAAGTAGGAGGTCAGTACTTTTGATGCATTCACGGCTGTCGTTTGGTTTGCAACTTTGGCGTGTTTAGTCTTTTTTTTTTTTTTTGGCTCTGGAGAGCCGCGGCACCGCGGAAAGGCAGCAGCCCGTACCATGGAGGCCCGCGGTGCCGCGTCTAGTGAACATGATGTGATGAGTATATACAGCGTCGTGATAGCTGAGCGCCATAGTAGCTATACGACTCTGGCCCCTTCTTTTCGGGCACACCCCTGCTGCGAACTGTTCACCTTGGGAGCTGACGGCGGCGGCTTGGACGTTTTCGACGTCTCTTCGACGTCCCAGTCGCGAAGGCTGACAAGGAAAGCTTGTTCGTCGTCGAACTCGCGCTGGAGTTCCATGGCGATGCGGACGTCGTCGTCGACATCTTGCATTTTGCGACGATTATCCGCTGCTTAGACCAATTGCTCCTAGCTGTAGTTTGCGTTTATATTCCTGAACAGGAACATGTAAAAAGTTTAGCTCTTTAAAAAATACCAGGCGCCCGACTGCACTCAGCTCTCGCGGGCGCGGGGAATCTGATGTTGATTCGGCCAACTCGTTGTATTATTAGCGTATTCGTTTTTTGTTTTATATATAAACCCAATTAAACTTGAAATTATCAATTAAAATAAATTATAATTTATACCAAATATAATTGCACTAAGAATCTAAAGATACGTTTTAATTCAAAGGAAAGCACAACTCCCTAGCGGCTGCTCTTTAAACGTAAGAAATGGCCGCGCCCAGTTATCTTGGATAAAGTCGTTTCGTAGTTCTAGTTTCGTTTTTTCTTCCGCTTCATTGAAGCTCGTTGCTGCAGCTCTTGCTGCAGCTGCACTGCATCACATGTAGGGGTGTCGCGAACTTTTGTCGAACCGGGATTTTGTCGTTGAACCTCAAGATTAGACTAATTCGCCGAACCTTGGAACTTTCACTAAATGTCGAAGGAGGTTCGACTCACTGATCTCAGACTGATCTCAACAACGTTGGATCGGCAAGTGCGGCCACCGGACGGCCATCTTGCATGCAGCTTTTTTTTTGTTTGGCTAGCGTTGCAGAGGCCGGCGGTCGCGTGCCGAAATACGTTTTCTACGCGTTCGTCGTTATTGCCCGAAGACGTTCTAAAATCCTATGTGAGCCGTGATACACTGCCGTTGGGAACACGTGGAAATTTTTACGAAAGTGCAGGGCCGCAGGAAATAGGCACAGCTCGTCGAAAGCAAGTTTCGCCGGTCTCGCGGCGTGTCCAAAGCTTCCTGGGCTGGCACGTCGAAGTGCTGTCTCTCTGTGCCAAGCATACATGGGTAAATTACTTTCAAAATGTAATTTAATTACAATTACAATTATTTTGCTCCGAAAGTAGTTTAACTACAATTAAAATTACTACTACGCGAAAGTAATTCATTAAAATTACAAATTACTTTTTAAAAGTAATGCAATTACTTTACAATTACTTATTTCTGAGAGCTACCCACCTTGGCCCATGTAACTTTAAACGAGTTATATGGCCGTTGTGTAAATGTCACGTATGGTACTTTTATTACATTTGTTAAATGAATTATAGAACTTGACAGTTTGGAGTAATGAACTCCTGCATTTTTATATTCTCAATAAATAAAAGTATGTCTTAATTATATTTCTATTTTATATTAAAACAAGCTCTTGACAGTCTAAAACCGCGGTTTGTAAAGTTTTCGAATCTCGTCCAGTCAAGCTGATAAACGGTTGAGATGGTTGGGCGTTGGAGCAAACAGCAAGTAATGAAAAATTGTACAGAAAGGTAGACGAGGATTGGGGGAAGGAAGAGCAGTGTAGCAACGACTGTTGGAAGTAAGGTGGGGTGAGTCGTGTTAACCAGACCTGCTTTTTCTTCGTTTCGATGTTAGAGTAGCACAACTAACTGTAAGTGCATGGTATCAACAGACAAGCTAGAGTAGAGGGACGTGAAGAACTCATAAAGAAAAGAGAATAATTTCATGGACAATAAAATCCCCACTCTTGACTGAAATATGTAAGCGAATATGCTAGCGACGAAGACGCGTAAGGAAAACCTTAACTTCTCCGCCTCGACCGGATGATGTGATTGTGATCGGAGTCCAACCAACTCGACTTCGAACCCCGATGCCCCCTGATGGGAATGAGAAATAAGAGAGACTCCTAGAAACGCGAGCAACAGGAAGCGAACGAGACGAAGAGACAGATTTCAACTGCGATCTGAACGAAAACCGACGTGAATGTAGCCCTCATTTATCAAATTATTTCTCAGATTTTTCATTAAATCGTTTTACAGTTTACAGAAACGTTCATTCCGTTCTATACACCTTTTCCGTCTAACCTCGACCCAGCGCGTAACGTGCGTAGCCTCGACTCGGCGACTCGGCGCACAGCGGGAATAGTTCTTCCGGTTCTAACACTTCCGGTATGCGGGAGCAGGCCTAGCCGGCTGGCAAGATGCTGAAGTGGTGCGCGTTAATGGGGTTTGAAGCCCTTGACAGCGAAGTGAGTTGTAATAAGGTGGGTTAATACGTCGATGTATCATGTCCGCGCATATTTGGTCATCGGGCTGCAACATGCGCAGTCGTTGGCTGCAGCAGCAATTTCCGAAAACGGAAAATAGCGCGCGACAAATTGTGCACGGAACACAAGAAGATCGCAAAGCCTAATGCGGCTGTAACGTATAGGTGACATTCACTTGACGTCACTCGCTAAATGCGCTGGCATCGGCCACCACGGTCGCCATCTTCGAGGTCTCCTTTTATCTCACGTAGGTGTCAAGTACCGTGTGGCCGGACCTTTCAGCGTGGGTTAGCAACATTTTACAACTTTAAAGGGTCTTTTTGGCCGAAACTATGGGTTATTCTTAGACTATGGTGCTTTTAAAGCGCCGTAGGAATATTTTTTGTGTGTGATTTTGTTCGTTTATGTCGCTATCCGACTTTTCCACCGCGGCCGCGTTGCTCCATCGGCTCAATGACGCGCTCCGTGTCGCGCGCCGTGCCCACGGCGGTAGCTCTTTTACAAGAACTGTGATTCTATGCTTTGGTGCTTTTGTAGCACAGTGTGATTACTCTTTGTTTTGTTTTGCTAGTTCCCTTATTGTTTTTTCTTTAGTGGATTTTCTGCACTACGGCCGTGTAACCGTGTTGCTCCATCGCCTCCGCATCGTTCGTCGTGCCTTCGGTGTTTGTTCTGTGCAGAAACATACCGTGCGGCTCACCGAGTGCGCAGCTAATGAAAAATGCGTCGCATTCTTTTATTAGCCTGAACGATTTAAAAACCACATGCAAGCGATTTGGCGAGCGACGATACAAGCGACGGCGACCCGCTTCGCTGTCGCTCGGTCACTCGCGCGACAAGGCAAACCGCATGAAAGCGACGGAAGCAAACGACCAAAGCGGTGAGTGATAAGTTTTCTAAATATCTAAAAATCGAGCTACGCGAGGAGCGACAGTGAAGGGTGAACCACATGTAAGCGATTTAGTGAGCGACGGCGACAGCGACGGGAGTCGGCGACGAGCGACGGAGATTTCTCACGGTCGCTCGTCGCGTCGTCCGGTTTTTAGATTTCTGGAAATCGTCGCTCATAGCCTTGGTAGCTTGCTCCCGTCGCTTTTATTCGGTTTGCCTCGTCGCGCGAGTGACCAAGCGACAGCGAAGCGGGTCGTCGTCGCTTGTCTCGTCGCCGTCGCTCGTCTTGTCTCGTGGCTCGATCGCTGAATTGCTTACATGCGGTTCAGCCTTTACCCACGGTACTCGGCGGCAACAAGGGAATTAAAACGGCCCGCCCCCGAGGTAAACTGTTTTCTCTATTCTGTTCAACGAAGCTGCTTCAACGATATGAAATTAGCACACACTACCAACTGACGACCGCATAGACAAGCCAATCAAACGTCAAATAGCGACCTCGAAGTTGGCGGATCGACGGTGGCGCTCCCTGGCAAAATCGAACCTGCAGGCTCAGCCAATACCATCTATACACTCTGCATCGCTTCCCCGCTGATATAAGTCGGGAAGCGATGCAATATCAGCACATAAAAAAAAGCAAATAGGCAGTATAGAAACGGACATCCACAAGTGCAGTAATAGGCCTCGACAAGTCAAATGTAGAACGAATTTTGCAGCTTGTGGTGCAAATGTAAGACCCTGGGTGTAATGATTGTTATTGGCTACTCAAGTTTTGTTTTTCATTCCGTTCATTCCTACGAGGATGTGCACTATAATTTTGTGTGTTGCTCGGTAGCGACGCCCGTTAAAATACGTTAATGGAAACAATACGCAAAGAGAGCGCAAAATCGTCGTCGTCCTCCTCCCCCCTTTCACCCCCATCTCATGAATAGTTCCGACGCATCTGGGCGTCATACGAAGTAGAAATGTCCCGGTAACTAGCGATCGTACCTCGACGGTGCACCATAACAATAAACCGTCCGGTCCGCGTCGCCAACTCCCATTGTGAGTATTTCTACTTATAAACGATGATACTTCTATGCCCAGGGTCGCCCTCGCTCGCGCATAGAAACCCTCCGTTACTCATTCGCAGAAGGCTGGCATTCTTCACAAACAACAACACGCGAAGAGTAAACACTGGTAAACGTCCTCAGGAAAAGTGAACATGCCTCCGATTTCGATTACCGGCGACGCTGGCGAGAATCCTCTCGGGGCTGTTGGCGCAACAACGGGCGCCATGAAGGCGTATAAACACGCCAGAACACACGAATAATTCACACTTTCAATAACAAACAAATTAAGAACTCACTAAATGGAAAACAATGAAAATACGATGCACGGGGTCAATGGGGACAACGCGGGAGCTAGGAACTACGCTGCTCTCCGCATACCAGAATGGGCGCACAACAACCGTACGCCAGACGGCGCGGCTGTCGCTGCAACACGCAAGATGGCGACGACTACGCGGAAAAGGTGTATACCAGCCCCTCTTTCCCATTCCTCCTTCCCCTCCTTTTGAGCAGGTTGGGATATACTCTCTCCCCTGTCGCTTTAGCTCTACTGCCCTCCCCGTGGTCAGGGGGGGAAACGCGCCGGCGCCGCAAAATCTTGCAAAGTAATTGTAATTGCGCCTGAAATTTTGCAATTACTGACACTAGAAAGTAATTAAATTACAATTACAATTCTTTTTAGCTGGAAGTAATTCGTTACAATTACAAATTACCAGAAAAAGTAATTAAATTACAGTAATTCAATTACTGTAATTGAATTACTACCCAAGTATGGTGCCAAGAATCGACGCCGCGTAGATCTGTTTTGCAAATGCAATGTGCGTGATGCCGTATGTGCCTCTGGACCAGCGTCTTACTTTACTCTGACGACTGTGTACTTGCGGCACTCGCGGTCCCGAAACGAGCTTGATCCAGCGTTCAGTAGCGACGGAAGAAGAAAGGGGGGGGGGGGGGGGGGGGAAGGTACGTCTTTTTAGATGCGGAGCATCTCTTGCTCGGGTCTATGTCCCGCGGCGTCGTAGTCCGCACTCACACTACGCATGCGCAACTCTCCTCCAACAGCT